GTGAGTGCCGAACGTGATCACTGAAGCATGAAATGTGAACTAACGGTTTAATTAACACCCTACTTTAGTGGGATAGGATGAGATGCGATAACGCTTTAGCTTGTGTTTTTATAGGGAAGTATATGGAGGGCTATCAATGAACTATTAATGAGTTGTTCTCATGGTAGTATTTGGGAAGCGTCTAATGGAAGGTTTACAGCTGTCGTATAGACCTGCTGCTTAAACGTCCTTCACTTTTAATAATTGCAATGCAGTGATATTGATCCATAGCTATGCACATATGCAACAGCATATAGGAAAGATGAGTAATAGTAGAGCTACACTTGTGATTCAAATTTATGCCATATTTTTAGGCAACACATTTATTCTCCATTCTATTGCTTAAAGGTATCCAGATAGCATACTAATCTTTGTTTTTTGCATTGTTCTTTTTACCTTGCATGTTACTTTATTGTCCTTATCTGTCCATTTGTATATATTTGGCTTGTTTCTTTATCTTCTGTTCCTCTTTGTTTTTCATTTTAAACTTCAATGGTTTTCCTCTCTTTCTCTCTCTCTCTCTCCCTCTCTCTCTTTCTCTCTCTTTCTCTCTCTTCTTTTTCTCTTTCTCTCTCTTCTCTTTCTCTTTCTCTCTCTTCTCTCTCTCTATTTTTCTAATTTTCTCTCTCCTCCCCCTCTCTTCACCAATTCTCTCTCTCTCATTTATATGTCTCTTTATATGTCTCTTTCTCTCTCTCTCTCTCTCTCTCTTTCTATGTTTTTCCTATGATGTCTCTCTCTCTCCTCCCCTCTCTCTCTTTCTCTCCCTCTTTCTCTCCCCCTCTCAACATGTATGTCTCTTTTTACCTCTTCATGTCTCTTTCCCTGCATCTCTTCTCCCCGTCTCTCTTCTTCCCGTCTCTCTCTCTCTCTCTCTCTCTCTCTCTCTCTCTCTCATTTTCTCTCTCGTTCTTTCTGTCTACCCCCTTTACAATCTTTTGTTCTGCATATGTTCTATCTGAATTTCCAAAAGGTATTTAAGACCTTCTGCTCCTCACGATATGATATAAGCTCTGCATGGTCATTAGTGTTGACAAGCTCTCTCTTTTTCTCTCTCTCTCTCTCTCTCTCTCTCTCTCTCTCTTTCTCTTTCTCTTTCTCTCTCTTTCTATATCTCTCTTTCTCTCTCTCCTCCCCTCTCTCTTTCTCTCCCTCTCTATCCCTCTCTCTTAATGTATGTCTTCCTGTCTGTCTATCTGCCTGCCCCTCATTCTCTTTTTACCTCTCCCTGTCTCTTTCCCTGCATCTCTTCTCCATGTCCCTCTCTTTTTCTTTACCCCTCTCTCTTATTTTCTCTCTTTCTCTTTCTGTCTCCTCCCTTTGCAATCTTTTGTTCTGCATATGATCTATCTGAATTTTCCAAAAGGTACTTAAGACCTTCTGCTCCTCACGATATGATATAAGCTCTGCATGATCATTAGTGTTGACAAGCTCTGGTATTTGTACTTTTAACCTTTTCTCTTGATGAGATACATCATCTGTTGAGAGGCAGAAGGTCGTTCACTCTGTGTTAAACAATGTTATGGCATGATAATGCCTTTCTGGCCCTGAGCAGTTGATGCTTCTGTCTAGTCTGTCTGTTATGGTGATCGATATGACCTACCTTCATCTTTTGAAAGCCTAAGGATGTTAAAAGGATATATATTCCCTTTTATATACCAGCAGAGAATGTAGCAGATTACTTTTATCGTTATTATTGTTTATTTGACCAATCATAAAAAGCACAGATACAGCACAATGGAAAGAAAAAAGTATGTAGAAGTATCGTAGTCGAGTGGTGTAGGCACTTGACTTGTAATTCAAAGGACGTGGGTTCGATCCCCGATTCGGCACTAATGTCCTTTGGCAAGGCATCTTCATTTGCCACACTCGACCCAGATGAGGTAAATGGATACCTGGCAGGAATTAATTCCTTGAAACGCAGCGCTGCTAAAGCCAGGGTAATTATGCTGCATTGTTGTAGAGCGCTTAGAGACTTCTGATAAAGTCAGTGTTAGGCGCTATATAAGCAAGGATAATTATTATTATTAAAAGGATGTATGCCCTTATATATACAAGCAGAGAGTGTAGCAGATTACTTTAACTATTATTATTATTATTACTTATTTGACCAATCATATAAAGCACAGATACAGCACAATGGAAAGAGACAATTACATAATAAGAATATGAAAGAATAATAGTAATGTGGGCAGCAAGTGGGTCAGGGTGCACAAAACTGAAATGCAACGCTGTTGCTCGGAGGCATGTGCCCAAACTCTTGTTACTCCCAGTACATTTGCATCAGAAAATCTCTACACTGACTATTCCCCAGGTGTGAGCAATTACTTCAAACAATTAAAACAAAAAAGGTCAATTATGTTGTGACTAAAAAGAATGCATGTATGTAGTCTAAATGTAAACATTATATCAAGGAACCAAATAACATTACAAGCAAATAGTAATTTACAACAAAGAATGTGAAAGGGGCTATAAGAATAACATATGAACAACATACATGTCAAAAATAAATCCTGTAATTATTATTAAATGAAAACAGTAGGACAACAGGTCTAGTAGGACAAAATAGCAAGCATCTTGTTCATTATAAAGTGAGAGCATACAACATATAGGAAGTTTGGTATAACTTAGTGTAGCTTTTCTTTTTGAGATAGCTATATGAAAAACAGTAATATGATATGATCCTCAAACATTGCAAAATGAAGTATATGTTGGAGATGCAATGCAAATATGGAAAGAGATGAACGGAAATGGAAGATCATCTCAGTCTAGGCAACCATTATGAAGGGGGAATTATGCACTCGACTACGAAATATTAGGGGGGGAAAAATTCCATGAAAAATCAATGAAGAAGAGATAAATTATGTAGAGTGAGGTAAAAAAAAATGTAGGTCGGTTTCTGTGCTGGTGACATAACACACATCCATCCCCCTCATTCCTCGGATTTTAAAGAGATGCATCATGATGTAAAAGAGACTATGAAAGGTACAGTGCTATTTTCTTTATGACAAAATTGTGTAAATGTCAAATGTTAAGCAGCTCAACAAAATTGAATGCCTTGAAAAAGAAAGTGCCCCTCCCCCTTCTCTCTTTCTCTCCCACTCTCTGTGTCTGTCTCTGTCTCTGTGTTCGTCAGTCTGTCTGTCTCTGTCTCGGTCTGTCTGTCTCTCTTTGTCACTCTGTCTGTCTGTCTGTCTGTCTCTCTGTCTCTCTGTGTCTCACTCAAATTCTGAAAGAGTATTTGTTTCATATGGCTTAAATACATTACAAGCTGTAGCCATAGGCTTGTTTGTTCGTGTCTCCTTAGATCAAGATAGTTATGTAAAGTTCCTTAAATAAAATAAAATAAAATGAAATAAAATTAAATTAAGTTCTTCCATCGCCCGATTGCTGCAATGGCCGTTTCATTAACATAGGCTGAATGAAGATGATATTCTTGGCTTTCAATAACTTATCATGCCACATAGTGCTCCAATTTTTACCCGTTTGCCTGGTATGATTCTTACCAATAAAGCATGCTCATAATTATATGCATTTCATCAATATAATGTATAATTTGCATATTTCATGAAAAATTCGCAATGCAAGGTAATAATTGAATATGTTGCATCGCGTCATGGCTGTGGGTCGTGCCATACCCTAGACTGTATTGGTTTTAAAAATCAATGGTTATCTGCAACAGGTGCCAATTTCTTTCCATACGCTGCTTGAGGGCTGACCACACCTGACTAAGAAGACGTGACTCAGACGTTCAATTGTAGTTGTACTTTGATTTGAAATTGAATATGAATTTGAAATCTGAATGAATATTTAACCCAGGTGAGAGACTGACCTACTTATTGAGATAATTGAAATATAGTGTGTGTTTTTGGAGCAAGAATGGCATTAGCTTTGTGTTAAACTATGGGTGAACTAATGATCTTCTGGCTCCAAACTTTCAACCATGTAAGGTAATCAAACATTCGACCATGTATTAAAGGCAATCATATATTCAACCATACAGTGCGTCCCAGAAAAAAATGAAACCGAGAACTATCAATGTTTTATCATAACTTAATTACAATTATAATTAATAAATGACACATATTTGTAAGGCTTACATCCTCATCTTTTTATTTAGTGCAGCCCATATGATGCATATTTCATGCATGAGTGATTAAAACAATTTGAAGAGAGGGTACCAAATAGTCATTTGGCAGGAGGTATCTAAATTTCAAAGAGAAAATCACATTTCTAGAAAGTTCATTTTCTGCCCTTTCTATATGACACCTCAATCAAGGAAAAAAATCTGTTTGTTTAAAGTTACAATGCCTGCATTTCCATAATTGATTAACCAAATTTGTTTGCACTGGCTGCCTGCCGTAGCAACAAACAGAGTTGACAAAAGACTTGACTCTGTTTTGTTGACAATCAGCCATGCATCAAGTCTTTTGTCTTCTACTCATACTCCTTCAAACACGTACCAAAAAAGCAAGCAGCGTAACAGCACAGAGCTTACCCAATAGCTAAGTACACTGATAACATAACAAATCTTGCATTTCTGTCTACCTTTCTTAATTTCTCTCACTGCCACCCTTATTCGTGACTTTTCAAAGTGCATTTAGTCTGATGATTGCTTTTTACGAATTTCAAAATTTTGTCGGTTACAGAGCCAACATTATGGGGCTATGTGCCCTGCATGGACCTGCTCATATTCCTCATCGTTCAATTTAATAATAATACTAATAATATCGGATATTTATATAGCGCACATATCCACCATGCATGGTGCTCAAGGCGCTCCAAATATTACCCGGCTCTGCTTGGCTGACGATTTTGGCGCACACAGCATTCAAGGAATTCCTTCCTACCAGTACCTATTTAACACCTGGATGAAGAGTGGCAAATGTAAATTAATGTCTAATTTATTAATCCATTTTGTTTCTTTGTCTCTCTCTCTATCTCTATCTCTCTATCTGCAGGGTGCCATCCTCACCACGATGCTGGCTACTAGGAACTTTTCCAGTGAGTATTCCTTCATTTTGCCTATCCTTCCATCACTTTAATCTATCTCTCTCTTTTCATTCTGCATGAAGACTCAATGTCTCAGTTGCCAAATCACATTTCGTTACATCATATATATATGTATACATATATATACATTTCAATGTATTACATTTTTTTTCAAACTTAAACAATTATTTTGATCATATGATTTCATAAATGGATTTTATTGTATTAGTCTTGGCTTCCAGACTTTTTCATTTGACATCACCTGCCTCTGTTGCCATGGTTATTTGATATTACCATTGATTACAAATTATCCAATGTTATGTTTCATGTAGAAGGACACATAGTCTCTCCCCACCAAATATTACATATCTCCTACACATGTATATCAACTTTGTAAACCCATATCCTCTTTCATGGTATGAATCCTAAACATGGTCCTCTTGAAAAGTTCATTTTCTTTTCAGAATGTTGGCATTATGCTATTTAAACGAGAAGTAGCACCAAATTCAGGTCAAACAGTCGTGTCTAGTAGCACATTATTCTACTGGAATAAAACCATTCAATTTTGAAGCAAGAAAATTTGATATAACTCACCATATTTTTGTTTTAAATGAGAGGTTTAAGGCTTATGCCTGGTGTATCAAATATATTACCATAATTATCTTTGACCGGAATTTATTAGAAATTATCAAAGTCTTACTGCACAATAATTCATAATGATATTAAAACCAATTGTAGAGATATAATATGTGAGTTCTAGATAAGTTGTCCAGAAATTTTGTTACCTCTGCAACCTCATAGGGCAAAAGCAAAAAGGGCAGCGGGGAACAGATAAATAACATTACTGCAGACACGAATATTTCACATACTAGGGGAAAAATAAGTCTCATGACAAACATTGCTCAAAATGTCATCTTCCAAGTTTGGACAACTAACTTTAGAAAAGTTATTTAATTGATTTTGGATTGGGCTACCTTAATGGTAGGTTTGCTGCTCGTAAAGCTAAGGATAGCATCCTATCGTACCCCATCTCCACCAAGTAACATCATTAGAGACCCAGCTGCAGTTATGAAAATATCTTTGGGGCTCGAAGGGTTAAACAAACTTATTTCTAAGCCCCTGATACACAGAAGCAGGTGCAGATACTTCAAATTTTGTCTGGCAATTTGCAAGGAATTCCCAGCAATTAGAGGGAGTATGATGGTCGTCTATTATGATGAGCAGATTGTCAGGAGGATGCACTTATAACTAGGTCACAAACATCCATTTTAGTTTTTGGAAGTAGGATTTTAGAGCCAAAAACATGTATTTTCTTTATAATTTAGAGAATGGAATATCCTTTAACCAGCAACAAAGAATTCTGTTTTTACCTTTTCCCCAAAGCTAGATTTATCAAATAGATTTGTAGATAAATGTATGCAGGTTTTTGTACACTGCTGTATTAAAAACAATACTTGATGGAGACCAGCTTGTGTACTAGTCATATAATTTGCCAAATTTTCACGTATTCATCATTTATCAAATTTATAAATTATGTCGGCTATTATAGTATTCTGATGGAAAGTCTTTACCAGATTCGAACATTTTCCTCCCATTTTTTGTAGGAAATATTTAGAGACATGTGGAAATTCATTAAGATACATTGGCTTATTTTCTAAAGTGCCTTTTTACGTCTTAAGTGTGATTGGTTTTTCCTGTACATTACTTATTGCTGTCACCTAGTATATTATGTACAGCAGACAGAAATGAAAATGCATAAGTTTTATGTCACAGACAACAACAAAAGTGGATTTGTTGTTTGCAATTGTAAGTCCATGAGACATATTATCCTTTTATGAGTGATGCTACAAAAATGATGTAAAAATGCGTTATCTTTTATATATATTTCTATTGGACTTAAAGACCAGACACTGATGTTGTTTATCTCTTTTAAAAACCAAACAGATGCATTTTTGACAGACTATGGTATAACACTAAGAACTCCTGTGAGTGCGATATACACGACATTGCATATCAAATGAGTATATTATGCTATTTAGCAAAAGCCCACATCAATTTTTATTGAAATGTTTTTTTACGAGAACGCATTTTTAGAAGACCTAGGGATAAGTTTTGTACCCAAGAAACAGTGTTTGAAGTTTCAATGTGTCCTGTTGTTTTTGTTATTTTCTTTGATATATTATAATATATATACCTCTCAATAACCCCACGCTCCGTCATACACTATCTGCAGAACGTTTCTCAAAAAGCAGTACGGAGCGGGAAAATAAAACTATCTGCCTTTCCATGGTCCAAGGTATATAGACTTTACACAACTCCTTACTATATTTATTATATATATATTTTTTTCAAATATTACCAAATTTTTGAGAACAAACCATAATAAACTCTCTTTCACCCATGCATCGCTGCTTGTTCTTTTTTTCCAATCCTCATACTCACTATTTATATATTTTTTTCTGGTTTTTGGAGAGATCCTGCATGATGACTTCTTATAACCAAAATCCTAGGATGCTGTAGCTTCTTTTCAGGCACTGGGGAATATCTTTTATGGCAGGTATTGCGTAATATCATTGATGGGAAGACGTAATTGTGTTCTTACTGAACATGTAAAATTCCTATCACGAATGAATTTTTATTTATATAATTTTGCACTTTAACTTCTCAAGAGCACAAGCAATATGTTGGAAAGAATTAATCATTTGCACATAACAAGGCTAAGAATTTTGTCTTGGACACATGATATTCAATACAGCCAGCATTACCGTTTGTTTAATTGCAGCATTGAGAAACTAAATTAGAAAATTTCTGATAATAATTCCCTAATGCCTGGAAGTGAGGTAAGGATGCCGCTTTTTAACGTGCTTGTTTTGTAGATGTCAGAGTTTTTTTGTTCATGTTTTTTTCCTCCTAGCTTCCATTAATAAGCATCGTTATGAAGATTTGCTGTAACTCTCCTTACGTACGAGGTGGATGTGTAATATCTGTACTTTTGTGGGTGATAGAGGTTGGATGGATTATATGGGTAGAATTATGCATCTTTTTTATTATCATGATTAGATATATATTCCTCTCCTTTTCTCCCTCTTCTATCTCTCCGATCTCTCTTTTTGTTTATTCATGAGATTCCTTTTATCATTTTCTTCATTCGATTATTATTATATTGTCTTTTTTCTTGTTAATCATCTATTTTTATGCCCCGTTATTTTCTTCTAATATGTTTTATTCATCCTGTTATTCTTTTGACTTTCCTTTTTCTCTGCTCCTTATTTAATGCTCTCTGCTATCGTCCGTTGGGTTACTAAGATAACATTCCAATCTTCTTTTGTTGACTGTTTTTGTATGTTAGCGTTTGGTTTTGCCAATTTGATTCTTATCGTAACACCTTAGACTTTAAGGATTTGGGAATACCGGGCAGAGAGAAGCAGCCGGCTACTACCAACTGTTTATAGTCTAGAGGACTAGACTGTGATATATTCTTAAAAACCTGAGTGTAGTTTAAATCGAAGCTACATCAAGTTGGTGGATATCATCTGTTTGGGACCATGCAGAAGGATTTAAACTCAAAGAAATATTTGCAATGCCTTCTTTCTCTTAACAGATGTTATACAAAAATAATGATAGGATATTTACTATTATTAGCTTGCATTTTGCTTGAAAGAGCAAGATATTTTTCTACATTTATAAGCTAAAGAATCACCTGTAAACAACAGCTTGAGACTTTCATTACATAAGGAAAAATAACATAATTTGTTTTTGTTTTTTTGCTGGGCATATCCCTTCAAAGTATGTAAGAGTTTTAGATGTAGGTGAATGATAGTCACCCTTAACTCTTGGAATACAAGAATAAAAGTTGATCATTGTTGTTCATTTGATATCCATGTGCTGGTACAACTTTCATACTAAAAACTTGTGCTTTAGCTTGTAAGATTGCGAAACAAGGAAGCAAGTTGCATATCAATTATTCAAAGTTATGTTAGATTGTCTCTTAACAGAAAAGTATGGCTAGAAGAAAGTTATATTGAGTTACTAATTATGTTTGGACCAATTTTTGACATTATATCTGAACTTTATACAGGGAAGAAAAAAAAGGAATTAAAATAGGAGATTCATTATTCGTTTAATTTGTGACCTACATCCTGGTTATCAAACAGTGCAGTATGTATGCCTCTTCATTGCCTGCCACAAGGCATTTTATAAGGACAATTCTACATGCATTCCCACACGGTATAACGATACTGGTACGTTGTAATATGTGTGTTAGCCACTGCTACAATGTATACAAATCTGATACATCATTGCACATGTATATTAGTACAAATATGACTTCATTTCCCTCATCAAAGTGACCTTCACCAATAGCAAATAGGGCATGCTGATGAAGTGTGATGGGTTGCACAGAAAGAAATTGCAATAATGAGGATCTACAATGAGTATCATTTGTGACTTAGTTTTTTCCTTCGTCAAAATCCAATTGAAATCGAGGTTGCATAATGTTTTTTGAATTAATTGGAATGGTGTAAATATGGCAAATCTGGCATAGGAACTTGAATCGTTAATCCTCAAAATCGATTCATTGATATTGTATTTGTAGTGGAATATCAACCTTCATTTGTGAATATAATAAATGCCTGCTTTGATTATATTTTATATTTTATCATTATTCCTATATAGTATTCAATCTATCTTTATCTTTCGGGACCCTCAACTATGAACGGACAATTACCAGACAATATCAATCACATTGTTATCTTATACATGTATACAACATGCATGTACACATCTATTCTTTTGAAAACCTATATCTTTGGTGGTGTGTACCATATAGACTTAGATTTGTGGATTATGTTATCTGATGTTTGCTCCATTATTTTATTCATGAAAGATTATGAGGTGATATTCAGGTTGTGATAGTTGGGTCATAGGAAAGGTTTGATGTTAGGGTTAGGTAATGTACATAATGTTAGGGTAAGGTAATGTACATGATGTTGGGGTTAGGTAATGTACATGATGTAAGAACTGGGCTTCATGTTAGGATTTAGGTTAGTGTTAATGATTGGCTGCTGTATACAATAATACAGGTAGTAAAAGATAAAAATGTTAAGTTCATTGGTTTGTAAAAGGGTTAGAGATTAGCTTTAAGTTTATGGTAGGGCATAGTGTGAAGTCAAAGTTTTAAGTTTGGTATATGTAAGAGAATAATAGCAGAGCAACTGTTACTAGAACACATGTCGTACAATCATTGCTTCATTCAACATGAACTCCTATCGTTTGAAGAGGAGGGGCAGGAGTGCACTATTTCTAAGAAGTTATCCAAGATCAGAAGGAATATTTGGCTGAGGATGAAAGGATCATTGTCACTCTACGTTCACATCTTCCCTAGATAGCCCACTAGATCATTCACACTAGATCTTTAAACATTTAACAAAATGGGAAACTAGTACACATTATAATGTAGTCAAGCCCTGTTCACATATTGAGATAACTTACTAGATCATTCACACTAGATCTTTAAACATTTAACAAAATGGGAAACTAGTACACATTATAATGTAGTCAAGCCCTGTTCACATATTGAGATAACTTACTAGATCATTCACACTAGATCTTTAAACATTTAACAAAATGGGAAACTAGTACACATTATAATGTAGTCAAGCCCTGTTCACATATTGAGATAACTTACTAGATCATTCACACTAGGTCTGTAAACATTTAACAACATGGGAAACTAGTACACAGTGTAATGTAGTCAAGCCCTCTTCACATATTTAGATAACCTACTAGATCATTCACACTAGATCTTTAAACATTAAACAGTATAGAAACTAGTACACATTTTAATGTAGTCAAGCCCTCTTCACATATTTAGATAACCTACTAGGCCTAATCACACTAGGTCAGAAAGCCGAAACAACAGAGGGTACATTGTCAGTGCTGTCAAGCTACAATCACGTTTTCTGATGACAATGCACTAGGCACATTCACACTCAGCATTATAGCTGGCAAAGTAGGGTTACTAAGGTACATTGTAATTTTGGTCAAGCTACAATCACGTTTTCTGATGACAAGGCACTTAGGCTTATTTACACCTGGCCTTATAGCTGGCAAAGTAGGGTTATCGAGGTACATCGTCAGTTTGGTCAAGCAACTCTCACATCTTGCGATGATAATTCACCAAGCCCATTCATATCTTTTACACGGAGCTGCAAAATGGGCTCACTACGTTGTGAATAAAGTTAGACCATGTTCACATCTTCTTAAGATAAACCATTGGGTCTGTTCACACTCAGTCTTGAAGCTGAAACAAGTGGGGTTAAATCAGCGAGCAAAACTGCCAATTGAAGTTGATCTCTGGTTCTGGTAGTAATGAATAATTATATGTGCCAAAGAAAATTTGAGAGAGATATAGAGCTAAGTCTGTAGCAAAACAAAGATGTTATTTGGCTTCTTTGGTTCACGATGCAATCAATTTTCCCAAATTGTGTCCATTCATTTCAGCCTGTTAGAAGTAGTTGCATTATGCTGCTTTAAAATAATTCCATGGGGTTAGTTTTGATGCAATAACATCTATTCTTGAAGATTATCCTTGACTGTTTCCCCTGGAAAATAAGCCCTGCTTACCAGATATCAAGATTAAATGTAGTTCTCTCGTTGCCATGGCCAGAAATCTAATGTGCCTTCTTTTACAATTGGGTTGATAATATGGAAGAGCAAAGATGGTGAGGTATGTTTGGGGGGTATTTTAAATTGAGAATGACAGCTTTAGAATGAACCGAATGTGTGCTTCATAGGTAGGAAAGCACGACCGGTAATCCGTCTGGATTGTGGCAGCATAGTCAAGCATATGCTTTGGAATAATCTTGAGAGCTTGTTTGTACAAGGGGAACAGTATTCCTAACGGTATTCAATGTTGAAATATTTCAATCAGTGCATATAAAGGACATCTTTAGTCCTTATATGTTCTGTCTGATCATTTATAAATTCTAATGAGACTCATTATTGGGTTATTTTGGATTAAAAACTTGGCAGCAGAGAGGAAAAATTTGCAGATCTGAGATTTAGAATGAATGAAATGCACATCAATTGTAGTTCTGGGTGCTTTAATTTATTTTCCTTCATTATATCTCGTATGTCTTTCTCTTTACTTTGAAATCTCACATTTATTTTTGGTGACCATGCGTCAAGAAAATGTACATGAGGGTATATAGCCTCCCTGCATGCATGCAGGGGAAAAGAATAAGTAGCTGTCAAGTTTATGACGAGCATGAGCATTCCACCCATACAGTAACTCCCAATAGACAATCGTCAGATAAATATAGTAGCAGCCAGGGGGGTTCCATAAGAGTGGACTTCCCGAACAAAGATATGACAGGATGAGGGGGGACTAAACTGCTACCAGCTGCTTTCATGGGTAACCCAACACCAGCGGCCCAGCCAAGCACTTCACCATCAACTTTAGATTATCAGGGAACCATTTCACTTATTTTGATTACTGCGCTAAGAGACGGAAAGTAAAGGGAGCAATCTAATGTTTTGGGAGAGAAATTCAAATCTTGGTATGGATTGTACACTTTACATATTTTAAGTGTTAAACAACTATTTTAAACGGTTGATATACCTTTATATTTCTGGGCACAATATCGTGAATGTTGCATCCAGCATTTGTCAGTGTTTTTATACATAAAAATGAATGCTGGGAGAGATGAAAGAGATAAATGCGACTGGGTATGTTTCCATATGTATAATTTCTTTCTTTCCCAATCATTTTTTTATATTTGTATATGTAGATGATCAGATAACTTGCTATTATAATTCATGGGGCTTATTTCTCAGCAAAGTTACTAATCCCACTCTAGGATAAGCATGATTAATAAATGGAAGTTTAATTGTAATGAGAAAACATTGCAGTGTATTGTTACATTTTCATAGGAATCATAGGGATTGATAATATTGTCCAATTTATTGGATTGCACAGAAATGTCATTAGCATTGCTTTTATGTACAACAAGATGTTTAAAACCCATTGGATATCCCCAGATGAAAAATATAACCTTTTAGTCTTCCGTTAGTATCTGATATGCTGCCAGGTTTGTGACTCACTGGCGATTTGAGGAGGGATTATAATCACATACATGTAATTGAGTCTGGTATTGTTATGTGCCATTCCACAATTGAACACATAGTGTGAGAGATGAGTTTTGTGGTGTACAACCTAAACGAGTGGTCGTGCAAACAGCCCCATCTAATATCTTGCTGTGCATGAAATGTTTGCATCGTAAAGGGAGCAGTACACTGCACAATGAGTTTTACTTGAGAGAAGAGATGTGGCCATGGGACTGATCTTTTTGTGTATGTGATTTAGCATGATGATGGCTAGACCCCCCCTTCCCACCCCCCCCCCCAAAAAAAACAAGAACAATATACATAATCCCTCCCCCCTACTACAACAACGGAAATGAGATAAAGGAATTGATTCTCATTCAAATGAAGGGAGTAAAAAATTATCTTTTTTGAATTAATTTTTAATGAATTCGATTAAATTTGTATTTAAAAGAACCCCCAGCCCTCTCTTGCAGGGGTACTAATTTATCAATCAAATTATATTACTCATGCTTTCTGCTGTATGCACACTTTGATTGCTACTAACTAGTAAAGAGAGAGAAATCATTGAGAGCAGTACCTTGCCTGTTTTTGTTCAAAACTTGTTTGGCTTTTGTGGTCCATGCATGAATTCTTAACGAATATAATTATGCTAAAACAACAACATGGGTAGTTTTTTCATAAAATATTTGTGTTTTTAACTGATAATCTTACACCAAAGGAGTGTGGTTATAGTTTCAGATATTTTGTTTCGAAAGCAAGAAAATTGAATAATGTCTGCTGAGGACCAGAAGGGTGTTAGCTCTGTCTATTAAAAGTGATGGCTTTAATGTCTTTTTGGCTCTAAGCAGGCAAGATATTAAGTTATTTACCCTCACAAAAATGTTTCTCTTTGTCTTCAGACTGTTTTATTGTACAGCCCAACCAGAAACTATACATTTAAATGATTTGTTTAAACTGTTAATCCATCAAATAAACTGTTGGTTGCCCACAAGAAAGCTGTAAGGGCCAAGCATCGTCAATGGTAGTAACAACCTTCTAGCAGGCAGCTCACAAAATAGAGTGAAACAACTCACATTGTAACCAGTTGGAAATGCTGCTAAGTAATAATAAATTGTCTCCAACTGGCTCATTAATTTTTCTGAACCATATTGATGTTATTCAACACAGCAAAAAGGTATAGCCACGATATATACAAATAAAAGCCAAAAGATTAATGTAATATTAATAGCAAATCATAAATCAATTACTGGAAGTTTAGTTCAATTTACTTCTCTATTAATGTACAGTAATTTTTTTTGTTGTATTTTTTGTATTTTTATCAACATTTTTTTCCTTCTCAACAGTACAATATGAAACACAATGTATATATACATGATATATGTAACAATTATTTCAACATAGAGTATACCGTAAATAATTCAGATACGGAAGGAGGTGAAAACCCGGAAAGCATAGCTTGAGTTGGGAATGCCCATAATAAATTCTCGCTACCCTAAATAGGTACGAAAATCTCGAAATTCGCGAGACGAGGTAATTTTCACTCTCTCGGGTCGTCACTACAACTTCCGGTATAGAGTCCCATCCCAAGTCACGGCCTTCATCCACCCCCATTTTTCAGGGTTCTTACGCTTGGAATCATGAGCCCAGCACTGTGCAGCCTCACAAAAGAAAACCATCGTCACTGATGTCAAAAGACGCAAAAAACAACGAATGAAATGTTCAAATAAACGTTGAAATATTTGCGAAAAAAAACAAGACCGAGCAGACGACATATTCGGTGCATACACGTTGTGTGGCGACGGCGTTTTACGTTTGCGCTATCGCGCCGCCTGCACAGGAAGCTGTAATGTCGAAAAGCTATCCCATAATGCAATGCGCGTTTTCAGGATTTTCCCCGGATCTCGGCAGAATCGCTATTTGGGGTAGCGAGAATTAACACAGTTACCGAGAGAACATTATAGATATTATTATGAAAATAATGTCTTAATCAAAGCAAGGAGAGGACATTTACTTCCTTCTTTCATTTAAATAAATGTTTTTTTTCCATCTTTTTTTAGTCAAAATGAGCTTTTATGGTGCAGCATCTTGAAGCTCTTTCCACTTTGTTTAATCCATGCATAAACCTAGAAGTTAATAGCACACATGTTAATAATGAGGGCAAGTTTGTACAATCATTTAGCTACATGTATGTGCAAGTCATAGTATTAAGAAGGCTCAACAAATTGTATTACAGTCTTTGACCCTACCATTGGTGTAACATGTATTCAAATCATAACAATAACATTCAATTTAAACTTAAAATTGATTTGGGATGTCAGACATAACATTTCATCATACAATTCATGGTCTGACTAGTTAAAAAAAAACACTTCCTTGTGACAATTGAATGTCAGTTCACTTCACAAAAAAGTATGCATTCAATTAGAATACCGGAACTAGTACAATATGAAAATGACCTTGTGACAATCAAATGTCAGTGCAATTCACAAAGAAGTATGCGTTCAATTTGAATACCAGTACTATTACATCATGAAAATGACTTTTTCAGTTATTTTTTCCAAGGCATGTAAAATATACAAATTATGTACTACCCCGAAACCAAAAGAGAAATGCATGCTTCATTGTAGTCCAAGTGTTAGGTAATTGATCCAATCTTGATGTCACTTCATCAAATTGGCCACATTACTCCCTCCCTATTTCCAGTACACAATCTATAAGCAGCCACTCTCTTATGCTTTAACCTGATCTTGCACTCCATTGCCCTACCACACACTTGTGGTGGCAACACAACACTTTCACACCACACGTCATAGTGGAAGCAACATGGGTGTGCAATGGTGGTGTGCAACTGTGTTTAGCAGTGCTGCCGTACCACAAAATGGTTCTATTTGTCTTTGAATTGCCCTTCAGATTTCACCACAACGTGTATTTAAAATGCTGTCGTTTATTGCTGCAACAATGTTGCTTCCACTCTTTTTTCTTCCCGGTAAACCATCTTGCACCACCACTTTACTTTCTTTATGGTTACACTGCAAGTGTTTATCAAATTTTTGCTTCCAAACTTGTTGCACGACAAATGTTGCTGCACACACTTTATACCACAATGTTGCTCCTCACACTTTATACCACAATGTTGCTCCACACACTTTATACCACAATGTTGCTCCTCACACTTTATACCACAATGTTGCTCCTCACACTTTATACCACAATGTTGCTCCTCACACTTTATACCACAATGTTGCTCCACACACTTTATACCACAATGTTGCTCCTCACACTTTATACCACAATGTTGCTCCACACACTTTATACCACAATGTTGCTCCACACACTTTATACCACACTGTTGCTCCTCACACTTTATACCACAATGTTGCTCCACACACTTTATACCACAATGTTGCTCCTCACACTTTATACCACAATGTTGCTCCTCACACTTTATACCACAATGTTGCTCCACACACTTTATACCACAATGTTGCTCCTCACACTTTATACCACAATGTTGCTGCACACACTTTATACCACAATGTTGCTCCACACACTTTATACCACAATGTTGCTCCTTACACTTTATACCACAATGTTGCTTCTAAATGTTGCCTATGCTCTCTTCGCCTCTCTCAGGAATTTCTGCAGCTTCACAGCAGGCGAAGCAGGATAGTTCAGGTTGGAGCTCTGCATAGATTTTCTTACCTGCCACCATTGGTAACAAAGACAATGACACAGACAAGGTCACAGACAAGGTCATTCAAAAGGTCACAGACAAGGTCAATTTGAAGGTCATAGAAAAAGTCATGACATGGCTGCTTTCTATAGCTGTGATTTTTCATGTCTTGGTTATATCATTAAAAAAATACACTTAGCTTGACATTATGAGTATACATGAAATCTGTAAGTTGTAAAAACAGAAGGATAATTTCTGACGACCTTTGACCTTTGTTTGTCTTAGTTACCATTGTGACAGGTTAGTGTTGACCTTTCTAACATTGCTTTGGTTTTTCTTAGTTTGATTTATGTTTTCTAACTCTCTTTATGAAACATAATGAAGATTTATCTCTCAGAAAGTTTAATTTACTAATTTTAATTTCTTTTTTTGAATTGTACCACAAAAAAAAGTTGTGCTCTCAAGAATATGTAATTATAATAAATAATTCACATACAAGTAAAAAGATAATAGAATGCGTACCCCTTTTCAGCCATATGTCTGGGAATTGTAATTTCTATTTTAAGGATGGAAGTCACGATAGATCATTAATTTGAGTTCAAAATATTTTAAAAAACAGGATTTTGATACCATTATTGACATCCTCTAATATCCAATTTGATTTGAATCCAATTATTGACTTCTAAAGTATCTTCAATATCAAGAAAAGTATCATACATGTAAGTTTAATATCATCTTACAAGTATGGATTTAGAAGGAGGTAGTTTTTCATATAGAATAAAACAAAAGTCTGATTTTTTAATTTATAACCAAAAGAAAATCATCCTAATTTTAAAGCATTTAATCTAAATCAACGTTGCATTTATTAGAGTCTACATTAAAATAATTTTTCATCATTTTATTTTGATCCTGGTTTTTGACATTTTGAAAACTGGTTCTGTTTTGTTTTGTTCTTACTAACTACACATTTATATTTGTTGGAGAATTTTGTGCATATGGCATGCATAATTAGACAGTGCTTGGAAATCATGAATAATTAACCAATCTAACAGTTTCCTAAGCGTTTCTTGGATGATTGTTTCAATTTTTATGTTTGATTCCATTAACTACTACTTTATATCAACATCATGATATAGCATGAAAAATGGCTGTGATTCTCAATTTCATTTTGACACAGTTGTATGAGAGATGTACTAATGAATAAAGGGAGTTTACAGATACAATCTGCGCATGGGCAGATAAAGGTCATTTGTACCAAAAAGGTAAAACCCACAGAGATGAATACTGGATAGTGCGCTCATGAAAGTTATGTAACATTATTCATTTATGCACCAACGGTACATTCTATGATATGCAGGTGGAAGTATTCTTTTCAAGAGGGCAAACAAAAGGTATTCATGAAGCACATCTAGGACTTTGGCAGTTATTATTCTAAGATGCTCAAAGTGGAACTTTTCCATGTGTAAAAGATCTGTGGATATTTGGGGTAATTTGTACCATGTGCTATCTGTAAACTCCTTTATTGTGACGGAATTGAAAATATCTAGTAAGGTTTTTTCAGGATACTTCTTCATTAACCTCCTGTTTGGCAAGAAATTGGGACTTGTTCAATTTCCAGCTTAAGCTTGATATATGTATTTTAAAGCCAAACTGTACTTCTTGTAGCTACTTGCTCCCTCTATATAGAAAACTTCCCCAATCAGTGCCTGTTGGTCCCCCATGATCCTCTTTTTCTTATGTTAATTGAGAGCTGAGTTAATGAGATAGCCACCTGTCAGTGACCTTGCTAAGTGGTCTAATCCCTTCTGGCTGAACTAGTACAGCCGGCCTTTAAAGGAAATTGAGTGGAATGGACACTGTTTGTGTCATTAGGAGAGAAAGAGAAAGAGAAATATGAAGAAGGAGAAAGAGAAAGAAAATATAGAGAGAAAGAGAGAGAGAGGGAGAAAGAGAGAGAGAGAGGGGGGGGGAGGGGAAAAGAGAGGTACATATGAAGAAGGAGATAGAGAAAGAAAAATATAGAGGGGGAAAGAGAGAGAAGGGGTGAGACAGAGCCAGAGAGAGACAAAGAGACAGAGAGAGACAGAGAGCCAGAGAGAGATAGAGACAGAGAGACAGAGAGAGAGAGAGAGAGAGAGACATAGACAGACATGTAAGAAATTAAGATGGATGTGAGTTTAGTGCAGTATTTAGATCGAGCTCTATAGCGTTATTGCAATATATCACACAACAATGAAATAAAGTAAGAGATTTCAGCTGAATTTTGTAGACTATTTTCATATCTCCATCGGATAGCATTCTTTGTTGTGGTAAATATTTAACTTTTTTTTCTTCGATCGTCTTTATTTAGAAATCGGTAACAATTGTCTTTGATTCTTGTTCCAACACTGTATTTGAAGTATTGACTATGTAGCTCCCAACATTATACAAATATTGTAGACCCCGGCGTTCAATATAACATTAATATATGAGCCGACAATCTCAGAATCTCAAGATTTCACTATTCTCAGATGTGTCTAAGATGAGTTGCTGAAGTTATTGCATTGACAGACAGGCTTACATCATTTAAAGGCCTTGGCAGTTACGTTGTTCACCTTCTGATGTTGGTGCTACCTAAAAATTCATGACTTTCGTTTCATGTTTGCCTTTCATTACCCCCATTAAATTGAGGACTTATTGGTGCATGTAGTTACGGGAATAAGGGAATTTCTGATTTCATCCTTGATAAAAGAAAAAAATAATGGAGTTGCTATTTGAAGCATAGGTAATATTCACATGGGTTTACCTCTATTATTCACCTGCATAATTAACCGTTTACTTCTCATTATTTTAGTGTATTTTAGCCTTTGTGTACCATGATGACCTTTTTCTTGTCAGCATTCCTCTCTATTTTGTGCTCATTTCAAAATTACTACTGGTACATAATTTATTATCTTGATGAAAGTGGAATAGTATATATCTACAGCATTCAAGATTGATAACAACTTTGTGTTTTAAAATAATCTAGGCCTAGCTCTCTTGTGAAATTGACATTTTCTCCACCTTTATCCAACTTTCTCCACCCTCATCACATGTATAATTGAAGATGTCTTCCTAGAATCTTTTCTTGTGCCGAACTAATCTTCCTCTTGTATTTTATTCTTTTCTCTTTTTCCCTTTTCTCTTTTTTCTTTTCCCCTTCTTATCTGACCTACCTTCTTGTGAACCCACTGTCCCATGACACATAACTTTCTACCTTTGACCCTTCCCATGACCTTTGACCCTTCCCTATGACCTTACTTCCACCCCTCCCTCCCCATCCTACAGGGTCATCACAAAATAAATCAGGTTGGATTCTGATGGTAGACTTTCCATACTTGTATTTCAAATTCAAAGAGTGAATCTCACCTTTGACTTGAGTGGAATCCCTGATAAGTGTGTGACTTAAAGGTAATACAAAGTTTTGGGAAATTTTGAAAATTGGGTGGATAGTGGTTCTTTACAATTTTGATATATTTGGATGCCCTTGTGGATGCATTATAAGCACTAGAAAATTTAGCCCCTAACCACTTTTGCTTTCGAGAAAAATTCAAAGTAAGAATTAGCGCCTACGGCCGTACAGTGGTAGCTGCAATCCTGAAAATTTCAGAATTGTAGTTGTGATATATAATTACCAAACGGAAATAGCTAATTGGTCAATTTTAGTCAAGAAACATTTTTTTATAGCTTAGTCAATATCTTGACCTTGAGAGGGAGCTATACAACATGAAGAGTTTATTACTTACAATTTCATAACTTTAGACTCGATTTCAACCGGGACAACGATCACTGAATGTTGTGGGATCGCATATGCTTCCAATATGTTCATTTAAACCAATTTATGACCCCATACCAAAACTTGTATTACCTTTAAACCATTACACTAATTTGTATGCTTATGATGAGCTGTTATTTTTCAAGCATTGTCTGTAGCTTGTGTTGTTATCATGGGTCTGTTCACACAGCTTTTGCTGCATCATCATCATTTTGGTATATTTTGGTATATTATCCCTCACTCATGCATGCTGCCACATCTCAAACAAAAAGACGGCAGCATCCATTGTTTTTTCTCTGTTGATAATGTGCTGTGCAAGATAATCTTGGCCCAGTTGGGCTTAGATTTTAAATTCTTCCATTTTCCAACTTAGTTTTTTCTTTTCTTCAAAGATCTTTCATTTTCTAAGGGCATCTGCATGAATGTTAAAATCCTCATTGCTGAATTGTCTCATCTTTTACCCTAGATGATTTCAGAAAAGCTCATTTACTTTTTTTGTGGTCAATATAAAAAGATCTACCTTTTCTTTGAATTGTACTTAAAGCTCAAACTTTTTTTTAATTCAGGGAATCCCTGATCGTGTGGTAGGGAAGTTCAACGTGTGAAAGGGCAAATGGATGTGGGTAGGGGGTTCGGTGTAAGTTACGGGCCAGATATGAGATGGGGAAGATAGGTGTGGGGTATGGAAGTTGGGTGTGGGGTAAGGAGTGTGATTGAGGTAAGAAAGTTGGGTGTGGGGTAAGGAGTGTGATTGAGGTTAGAAAGTTGGGTGTGGGGTGAGGGGTGTGATTGAGGTAAGAAAGTTGGGTGTGGGGGTGAGGGGTGTGATTGAGGTAAGAAAGTTGGGTGTGGGGGTGAGGGGTGTGATTTAGGTAAGAAAGTTGGGTGTGGGTGTGAGGGGTGTGATTGAGGTAAGAAAGTTGGGTGTGGGGGTGAGGGGTGTGATTTAGGTAAGAAAGTTGGGTGTGGGGGTGAGGGGTGTGATTTAGTCAAGAAAGTTGGGTGTGGGTTAAAGAAGTTAGGGTTAGGGTGTGATTGAAGTAAGAAAGTTGGGTGTGGGGTAGGAGATTTGGTATGAAGTAGGGAATTTTGGCGTAGGTGGGGGTGGGTGTGGGATACAGAAGTTGGTTGTCAGATACGGGAAGTGATTTCTAGTAGGGAAAGTGGTTTGGAAATAAACTAATTCTCCCAAGGTAGAAACACTTTTTAACTAGGCGTAGATCTAATGAAGGTCTTAACCGACATTTATATGAGATTTAATGTTAGCCTGAGCTGATAGGGCTAGAGTGTTTCATATGCTTGGCTATATTAGATGCCATGATGTGATAGATATGGCCACCATACTGATATATACTGACCTTTTTGAACATGGTCTTAATCTAGCTTACCTAGCCTCTGGATTTTGCTGTCCATACTGTGCAATCTGTCTCTCTATGTGTCCAATATTACAATTTCTCGCATTGTATGACCAGCAAAATTCTGTGGGGGTCAGTCTCGGAAAATTATCTAGCTAACTATGGGGTTGGACAACTTTGTCTCTTAAATGTCTCTCTAACTCTCTCATTGTTTTATAGCAGTCATTATTGATGAGTGTCTCTAATATCCACTAACTCTATGAATCCCTCTCTGTCCTTGTGTATATAGGCTTTTTTTTTCTTCGATTGGAACTGAATTAATTAAGTACAGGTTAATCTCTACGTGTAGATAGATAGGAGAACTAGTATGTTTTGTTGTTGTGATGTTTTGCCGGTGTGTGCGTATCGTTAAGGTTGTTTGGGCTTCACTCATATACCATGCATGTTTTCTTATTACCAAACCCTACAGCTCATTTTGTCCTATCGCATCATTTTGTCATGGGTTATGGAGTGCTTTCCCCCTCCATCAACAATTGTCAAGTGTTCTTATCTGTTTCGAGTCAATCATTAACCCTACCATGTTTTCTTGAATTTTAACCCCCTCCCTCATCCTTCCATTCTGATTTTTACCCCCGCCCCCTTCTCAGCTCTACGCTTCCCCTTCCCCATGCCCTCTACCATCCTGTAAAGTAGAAATGTGCTGATTACCAACCCTACTCTGACATGCAATATAAGAGAGTTTATTTTTTTCTTATCATATCATGGTTAATATATACGCAATACCTTTACAAAAAATCTTTTGAAAAAGAAAACACTATTGTTACTTCTCATAACATTTTCCATGTGGGAAGCACTGCTCATTTTTCAGTATATATACGGATACAACTTCTGTACTTACAAATTTGTATTAGATTTGTTGAGCATTTACACCTGGTATCATCCGTCCTTTTTTGGCAGGTAAAAAGTGAGAACGCCATGATAATGTAAGCGAGAGGTAGCCTTAAAGTTGAGTACTCTTGTGTTCTTTGTCAGAACAGGGTTTGGGAACAGCAGACTGGTGGTCAACCACTTCTTTGTGGCATTCAGACATTATACCATATGCATGTATAAGCAGTAGTTGTGGTGGCAGCTCAAGGACTGTTCCTACTGTTAAGATATTTGTGTTCCTCATGGACAAATATTGGCTGTGGCAAATGCATGTAAGGTCAGCAGTGTTTAAGATATGAATTTGGGGATTATGTATGATTATGGATTGAAATATTGATACACTTGATAACTTAAGCAGTGGGAACAGACCTTGAGAACTAGGTTTAACATTTATAATATTTAAAGATTGTAGCCTGTAGTCCTCTACCTGCTCTTTTCTCTTTCTCTCTCTTTTTCATTCTTGCTCTGTCTGTCTGTCTCTCTCTCTCTCTCGCTCTCTCTCTCGCTCTCTCGCTCTCTGTCTCTCTCTCTCTCTGTCTCTCGCTCTGTCTCTCTTTCTCTGTCTCTCTCTCTCTCTCTCTTTCTCTCTCTCTTTCTCTCGCTCTCTATCTCTCTCTCATTCTCCCTTTCTCACCTCATTCTCTTTTTCTTTATCTTATCTCTCTCTCTCTTTCTCTTTCTAGATGTCTCGCCTTCATTCTCTCTCTGTTCTCTTCTGTTTGTAAAATTTACTACTGCATCTCATGTTAACGGTTTGCCAGTATCCATTTAAGAACTGTTATGAATCTCTCTATTAAGAGATAGAAAGCATTTTTGTTTACTGATCATGTATAGTGCCTTGGATAAAAATGTGCTACTAACTTCAATTAATTATACTATCTTGTCAATGTGCTTCCTGTGTTCTTGTTAGCTCTCATGTATGTCCTAAGTGGCAAATCCAAAGACTATGCATAAAGGAGATTCCATACATCAATCTTTTGTGGATTCACCTTTTCAGAATGTTACATACATTTGATATGAGAAGAAGTCACCGATATTCTAATTCATATGATTCTTAGGCAGGTCTAAATAGCAAAATGACTTTTCAAGAAAGGACTGCATCTTGCTAAAAGACAATTAACTTTCACATATCTTTTCTTTGGAGCCGTAAGGTAGTTAACTCTGTGTTAAGGTATCCAGATTGATACCCTTCTGGCACCAAAGAAACGATATGTGGGATGTAGCTCGTGCAAGTAGGCAGGCATGTACAGGGCATTGTAATTCAGACATGCTGCCTGGAGTTGATAAAATGCTAAATGATCCTTTCTCTATTCGCACTCACTAATGACTGTAAGTGAGGGTTAACAACGACACAGAAGCATGACATGGTAACTATGTATTATGTTATATTTTTAAAGTTCTGCATTCTTCAAAATCCATTATTGTTCATTGCCTGAGCACTTTGTGTCAGACAAAATCATTATCATGCCGAACATTGACATACCATTGCTAAACTAGCGAGCCTGACACCAAGCCTTGATAAATTGGCCTGTAACCCTTCAAATTGCATGTCAAAAACAAATGCCTAATGGTAAGAACATGGTTAAGGTAATTGAATGTGTCATTACTTCAGTTATTAAAGGTAGAGTATAATCCATTTCAACTTGCATACATTTTTATGATTAGTTCATGGGGTGTTTCATTGCTATGATTTGTGTATAACATGGTTCTTGTTTGAGTGGTGTACAACCCCTTTGGTAATCAGTGAGTGTGGTAAACCCTCTGTATGCCCATGTGCTTGAATCATATAGAACAGTGGGGCTTCACATCAAAGGGGTTGTACACTGCTCTACATGAGTGGTCAAGACAAGGCACTGGTCAGCAGTGGGAATAATCCCCTTATAGGTTTGACCGAGTAAACTGACCCATTCATTCGTATGAAGACATCTGCCATTCCGTTTATCGAGCATGTGATAATAATACTTCAACATTCGTTTGTTCCATTCTCTGTTATTATTTTTTGTTTATTTGTATCCAATTTTGCCTGCGTGTTACAATAGGGGGCAGTCAAGAAAAGGGTAAGATCGACTGTCAGTTCGAATTATCTCCTTCCATGTATTTCCTTCATGAATGAATTTTCCTCTTATATTCAACATTTTCCTCTAATATCTGACATTTTCCTCTGATAACTGACATTTTCCTCTTATATCTGACATTTTCCTCTTATACCTGACATTTTCCTCTTATATCTGACATTTTCCTCTTATATCTGACATTTTCCTCTTATATCTGACATTTTCCTCTTATATCTGACATTTTCCTCTTATATCCGACATTTTCCTCTTATATCTGACATTTTCCTCTTATATCTGACATTTTCCTCTTATATCCGACATTTTCCTCTTATATCCGACATTTTCCTCTTATATCTGACATTTTCCTCTTATATCTGACATTTTCCTCTTATATCTGACATTTTCCTCTTATATCCGACATTTTCCTCTTATATCCGACATTTTCCTCTTATATCCGACATTTTCCTCTTATATCTAACATTTATCTCAGTGGAGTTTTGTATCTTGTAGTCTCCTTCAGAATACATCTTCAAACATTATCTCTCATAATTGCACGTTGCTGTTCCTATCTCATCGCGATAACTCATTCTTGATGTCCTTTTTTTAAGTATATTGTCCATTTCTCGCATTTCATTTAATCCTGAAACTAATACCAACAGTATTAATCAGCAGTGCTTTCAGCAGAAAAATTAAAAAGTAGCGCATGTTCTTGTCAGCGTCAGGAGGGTACGACTCCGGTCGACTTTGTCCAGCTTTTGCTCTAGCTTTCTCTACATCGTGCATTAATGCCTTTCCTGCACTGAAAAGGCATGATTGGATAACCCAGATCCTGAATGAAAAATCGTTTTTGCATCTTGGATTCTTGTATCAACTGACAAAAACCTGTCTCTTCCTAAATTCTGTATGCTAATTCAAATTTCTACTCAGCATAGGAAATGATAAAAAGCATGCCAGTTCTTAGAGATTTTGAACTTCATTGATACTTTAAAGTATCACAGGCATATTTACTTGATCGTACAGGCAGTTTTTAAAAGCTCATTATCAAGATAGAATTGCATGACCTAGGTTCTATGGGTAAATTCAAAGTGATACCATATTGCATGTATTCTCGTTTTTCATTTCTATATCTCAGTACATGTCTAAACTTTATTTATTGTATAATTCATTATCATAATATTTTATTCGATTCAGACGGCCTAATCGTTGCATGTTGTCTGGAATTTTTTCCAGTATAGTAGTAGATTAGCGGTATGATATAATTTCTAAGTCAATAATTCATACTTATATTTTATTCTGTGAAAATAATCTTAATATGTTTTATGGTGTATTGTTCTGCTTATGAAATTGATCTGATTGTTTCTTTTGACTTTACTTCTTGCCATTACTTCATGCCATTATGTAGATCGTGTCAAAAAAGAAAAGGTTATAGAGGAGTAGGAAAGGGAAGAGATAATCCTGAATAATTAGTTATGTTTAAGGATGAATACCAAAGAAGTTATACTTTATTATTATTTAGAAGAAGAAAAAAAAAGAGATTTTAAGGCAACATAGGTTGGTTAAGGAGATAATTTACCAGAGGATTTTCAATAAGAGTGGGGGGGGGGCAATAGTGAAAGCATCAGTACACCTTTGTTCATATTCTTGATTTAATTTTGTCAGTAGTCTAGTCAAGAATGGGGCAATGCCTGACATGAGCGCTATACAAGAACCCACTATTATTATTATTATTATTATATGTATGATCCTGAATGGCATAGGTGCAATTGGTTTTATATTAGGATGATTGGGCCTCTTTTAAAAAGGATATTTTGTATATAATCCTGGGTGTATAATGTAACTTGAAGGTTCTTTTTAATTTAGAGTATGACAATGTGTATTTTAGCAAATGTTGAACACAAAATTACAATACAATTTGTATTTATATTGACCTAAACTCATAGTAGGGCTATCTATACTCAGTTTGGACTTTGAGAGGATAAAGAGATTTCTTTTTTTTTTTTTAATGCAGAATACGTAGCAGAAATGTATTACTTTCCCTATTTTCATTTATGACTTCACTAATGAACATTTGCACCAATACAAAAGGAAGAATTTTGTTCAAAGTAGAAAATACATTAAAGTGTATTATCACTTTCACTTGTAAATCACTAACATGGGAAATAATAAGTAGTATGTCAATGCACTGAATGACTTTATGATCGTTGATCATTCACTGATTCTGAACTAATACAATTATAACATTCTTGTGGATTAATTCTGACTAACATGTACATTATGTGCTTATAGATATAGATGGAATAGATGTTAGTCTAATAATGTCATAATAATCATGATTATTGATGGTCTATTAACCTGTTAATGCATACTAAGACATCATTTTGTAAGGTCAGAACTGTCATGAATCTCTTACTATCCTCATTTTTTCAAAATTTGCATACATTCAACTTTTTGTCTGTAGAATTGTGCTTTGTACTTGTACTTTAAATATGTAACTAGCTTTCAGTCTCTCAAATACAAAAAAAAAAAAAGCTACTAGACATCCTGATATTCAAAGCTTAACATATTTCAAAGCAAACAACATTAAATGAGCACACAAATTCATAATTCCAATTAAGGATTAACAAATACATTTGATAATTGCTCAAACGAAACATTGGAAAGCCTTGATGATAAAAGGGGTCCAAAAGAAAAAGCCTCTCTTACAATAAAGCCCTAATTTTAACAGATATTGATGGTAATATTACAGGATTACCCCATCTGTGTTTACTAGCCTGCGTTCAAACGTTTCTTCAAAGTGTAGCAACTTTTTCATTGTAAAAAAGAAAAACATGTCTTAAAAGCAGTCTGCCCCTCAAAGGTAATGTTACACCATAAAATATCAGCAAATCAGCAAAACAAAATGAAAATGAAGGTGAATACCACCGCAATAATGTATAAAAACAGAAAGATGACCAAAACAGATAAATCTGCTATATGTTCTTATGTTGAATTGAAAACAGTCGTTTGAGCATGCTGAATCATGAGTATAAAAAAAAATTGTTATATTTTTTTCAAATTTTATTCTGAGAATGATTGCTGCATGCAATGCCATTGATTGGTTCTTAATCATATTTTTTATGTTACATATTTCATTATGCATGAATCATATAATCTCACATATTTTATGATGTTCATATGTTGATTTTCTTGCATGGTATGGTGATATGCATGCAGATGTATTACCATATTGATTTGATGGTGCTTCTCTTCAAATAATTACTGATTTTCTCTCATTATCTTGATTTATGTGTCATATTTTTTTTCCCTTCATTTTTAAACATTTTATTAGGTCTTTATTAATTTTTAAGGGGGATGGGGTTTATCCAAAATATTGGTAGTGGTAGAGGTCAGATGCTTTTTTTCTGATGTAAAAACTAAACATAAATTATTGAATATATCATCTTACACATTGATAAAGAAATATTTAAAAAAATGATGAAGTCAAAAAGAAATTGGTAGGACAATGGACAAAGTTATACAACAGTATAGAAACGATTTTGAAATTGTTTATTTAAGACGTGTTTCTAAAATTGCCTCTGTACAATCTTCTGACACAATAGCTCTGCACATTTTCTCCTCAGTAATATTTTGTCTACTTAAAAAAGTTCACTTTCCAAGGCCTCTCAAACCAATTATGACATTCTATAAGTTCTGACAAAACAATACTGCTTCACGTTTCATAAAACTTATCAATGCATCAAGCAGTCTTCATCATCATTAACCTTTTTTTTAATTAATTTGTTTCATTTGTCATTTGATGAATCATCTCAATTTAACTTTAATGTAGTTGTTTAAAAATCTAAATTTGTAAATGTTGAAAGAAAATACCATGCATTTAAGGAATGGCAAATGTATGCATTTACCAAATTGCAATGTTATAAAGAATTAAGCTGTTGTTCGTGAGGAATCGAGGCATAAAAAAACTGCAACATTTTGCATTTTGAATTGTGACATCATGGGCAAGGGATTGTGATGTTATATGTATTATGTTGCTTTGTAAGGTAAAGCGAGTGCAATCGCATCCATATGAAATTTCAAAGTTTTGAGTTACTGATTACATATGGCATTAACAGTATCGTGGATACAAAGAATGTGATTTGTTCTAAGCCATTGAAACAAAGATTAAAGCAATTGGGTAAGAATTCCTTGTGGACACTGTGATATACTCAGATTAACTATAATCCATCAATTCACTTTAGAAGAAAGTTCATGCAATGTTATTTTGTGAATTTCATTTACAGATTTCAAATGTCAAAACAATGCAATAAACATTTTGATATTCCTATATTTTTTAATTTTTGCAACATAAAAGTTGATTGTTTGAAAATGTGTCCTAGCAAAAAAGAAATTATAAAAGGATACAAAAATAAACAAATGCTCTTATTTAATCTGACATCATTAACATACTTTTATAGCTGATAAAATGATGGACAGAAATTTGATGATAATACGATGCACTTGTTGCCATTGGTAGATAGATTTTTGAATTAATTAATTTCCCTATATCTAACTCATGCAAGAAAATAACAGTCAAGTCTTATTCGGACATGCAATTTAGTGCCTAAATAGAACCTTGCTGTGGTTAAATAAATAGAGTTAGCTGGATGAGACAAAGTTCCTTAGGTAGACTTCCTTATCTTTTGTTACAAGATGAAGATATTTGAAGTGCACTACTGTCTTTTTAAAATTTTCCACACTGTTTTATAGGCAGTTTTGTACTTCACATGCAAACTAGGCATGAAGATTATTTGTCAACTTGAAAAACATGATCGTCTTTCTCTCATATCCCACATTGTACCCCACTCACCACATCCCACACGGATGCTTCAAATACCACAAGCATCTCGCATATTGAAGTGCACATTCAATTAACATTCTCGACCCCCTATAAGCAATGTTTTAAAAGGAACCTTTTCTGTAGTCATTACCCCAAGGCCAAGAATGATTTGATGATGAGAAGAAGATCGAGAGGGCCTGAAAGTAAACCCAGTGGGGGAGTTTGGGCTCTGTTCCATGACCTTTGGAGCATGAGGTCATATCAAAGAGTCATTTCAACTAGTAGCAGAAGATGACTACGATATAAGGCTGTATTTTAATCAACTAATTCACCCCATGATTAGAATACATAGTTGCATCATTCATTTAACATTTAATTGTATTTGTTAACACTTCATTTCCATAAGCTCACAGGAACCTGTCCGTAGGGTTTTCTTGGAAGAGTTTTACCATGAATGATAACCCAAATGATCGTTCATTGCTGATTAAAGTCATCAAAACCCGTCCGTATGCATGTATATCCAGATACCCTCAACATATTTCCAAGACATCTATATAATGAATAGTCCTGAATGCAATTGAAAACATTCAATCCCTGCATCTGCTGCTTGTCCATGCATATTATATGATATTTTGCAGAAAGTTATCAGGACAACAACAAAAAAGTTATAGTATCAGAAAAGCCATTTTAAATTTTTCTCTGAAACTGATTTTGATGAAGAATTCTCTTTATTGGAACAGCCACCCGGACTCTGCAACAGAAGAAAGATAATGGCATCAAGGAGTCCCCAGAGGGCAGCACAATGGAAGAGGATGACCTGAGAGGTTGGTATCCCTGCGTGGGTGTAGTTGGTATCCCTGCGTGGGTGTGGTTGGTATCCCTGAGTGGGTGTGGTTGGTATCCCTGAGTGGGTGTGGTTGGTATCCCTGAGTGGGTGTGGTTGGTTCCCTATAATGGGTGTGGCTAGTATCCCAGACTGGGGTGGGGTGGGTATTCAAAATTGGATGGGTATTTAAAATTGGGTGTGGTTGGTATCCCTGAGTGGATGTGGTTGGTTCTCTAAAATGGGTGTGGCTATTATCCCAGACTGGGGTGGGGTGGGTATTCAAAATTGGGTGTGGTTGGTTTTCACAACTGGGTGTGACTAGTATCCCAGTTCGGGGTGGGGTGGGTATTCCAAATTGGGTGTGGTTGGTATTCACAACTGGGTGTGGCTAGTATCTCAGGCTGGGGTGGGGTGGGTATTCAAAATTAGGTGTGGTTGGTACACTAAAGTGGGTTTGAACGGTACCCTCAACTGGATAAGGTTGATATCACAGACAAGGTGTGGTTAGTAAACAAGACTGGGTGTGGTTGGTATTCACAACTGGGTATGGTTGATGTTCAATACTGGGTGTGGTTGATATTCACAACTGGGTATGGTTGATATTCACAACTGGGTATGGTTGATGTTAAATACTGGGTGTCGTTGGTTTACCAGATAAGATTTAATCACAAAATCTGATCATATTTGTATTTGAAATGAAACAATGCATTGTTTAAAGAGATTGTACAATAGATAAACAAAGAAAAGTGTAAATATTAGCTGAAAAATAAAAATTGAGGATTAAGATCTGTGATATTGATCAGGGAAAAAAATAATTGAAAAATGTTGGGGGCTACTTTTCAAGCTTGCTTGCATGAAAATAACACTCTAAATTTGTTTTGTATTAATCTCTATGCAAGTTTTAGGGGCTCTTTTGGGCATTTTGGGGGATAATTCGCCCAGAGCCCCGTGTATTTTTTTCACTTATATTGATGATGTAGGTCCATGATTATCATGTTATATATAAAAGAAGGAAAATATCATATGATATTTCAAGATTTGAAGTAACTATATGGTTCTCAACATGATTACTATGTGTTACTGGTCACAATCAAGAAATCACATTTTGGGTTATTTTGAAAATATGCACTGAACATGTTCACACTGCTACATTGTTACTGTGCAACTTTGATTTATGCACGCTCCCTTTATGTGCAAAACTTACGCAGTCTTGTGCATTCCTTGCATACCCACAAGCAGGACACCTCACCTGCTAGCATATGCGCCATGTTCACCGAGAAGGCCAATGTGTTCAGGACAATTTTCTCATTCTTTCAATTTTAGAGAGGAATAACAAATAATCTTGAAATGATGGATGCTGTTCAAAACATACATCCTCTTTAGACTGAAAACTAGATTTAAAGGGAAAGTTCCCCCCCAAAATAAGTTTGTTTCGATAGAGGCAGAATAATAAGAAAATCAGGTGAGTGAAAGTTTGAGCAAATTCTGAATGAAAATAAGAAAGTTATGAATAATTGAAGTTGTGATCAATCAAATACAAATTGGCAACTCTGTGACTTATTATACGAGCTCTCCTTCATTTGCTTTGTGCATAATATTCCATAAAATCATGTTTTCTTCGTTATTGATGACGGAATATATATTTGTTCCTTGCAGGGGGAGTATAGAAACATATTTGCAATTATTATATTTAGGGTGCATGTATGGTTGAAATTTTTCTTGAGGGAAAATGAAAATTTTAGATTTTTTTAGTACTGAGCAAATGGAAGTTGAGCTCGCATGATACGTCATAGAGTTGCAAATTTGTGTTTGATTGATCACAACTTCAAAAAGTTGAAATGATGGAATTTGCTCAAACTTTCACTGACTTGTTTCTCTCATTTTTCTACTCCTATTAAAACTAACTTAATTTCAGGGTGGACTCCCCCTTTAAGTGTTTTAATAGTTTAAACATATTTTTGGCTTACACTCAGTAAATAAGATGGATTGATCAGTCTGTACCGGTAATTGAAAAACAAGTCAGAAAAAATCTTGGAACCAGCGGGATTTGAACCTGTCATCTACTCCTTGCCGGGCAGCGACTCTACCACCAGGCCATCACTCGTCCATGGCATAGTCACGATGAACTAGAAACAAACACCCAAGCTCTCCTGATTCATTCTTACTTATCAATATTCATTAGTCCGCCATAGGACAATAACTTTTATAAATGTAATGCTTCCTGGGAGAAATTTCAATAGTTTGAACATATTTGTGGCTCAAGTCAGAAAAAAAAGAAAAAAAGAGTCGCTGCCCGGCAAGCAGTAGATGGTAGGTTCAAATCCTGCTGGTTCCAAGATTTTTTCTGACTTGTTTTTCAATTACAGATCGATCAATCGATCTTATTTACTGGGTGTAAGCCACAAATATGTTTAAACTATTGAAATTCTCCCAGGAAGCATTACATTTATAATAGATTTAAGTGTTTGGATACTATATTTTGAGATTTAAAAGATAAGTTGTGACATCTTCTGGTAGAAATAACCAGTGAGAAAGATGCCAACTGTGAATTAACGTATTTTCCATTATTATTCAACTTCTACCTTTTGCTCCACCTCATACATCTTTTCTCTGATTATTTTCATCCAGTTAAAAAGCAAGACATTGTCAAGATGACAGAAACTCTTCTTGAAGCAATCAACGTAGGTGACTTTGAATCTTACACGTAAGTAGTCCTTAAAGGTATAGACCTTAAAGGTATAGACCAGTTCTGGTCATGCGATTGCATTGTGAAAGAAACATGGAATTGATCAGACAAGGTTGATCATTTAGCATATAAGTATGGGTGTGTACTGCAAGGTTCTGGAATCCTCAAAATGAAGTTACAAAGTTACAAGCACTGTACACAGAAAGATGTATATGGGACTACGCGATATCTATCCAAATTCGGATAGATATGATAATTTACCAAATTTACCAAATTTAGTAGGCGGTTCCCCAGCAAAATTTGCATTATCACGTATTAGTCAAAACATATTCTTTCACATGATTGGTAATAAGAGCTTTCATTTCATTTTTTGAGAGGGGGGCATTTCCAAAACTGGTCTATACCTTTAAATGAGTAGGTTACTTGTTTTACTGCACATGAAGATTCCAGGCCTCTGATTTGTCCAAACTGCAGGCATGAAAATCACTATTGACTGCTGGGTAGTTTAGTGAAAAATATTGACTGGGCATAGTTTTACTTGCGTGTACAATGCAAGGACACAATGGTTATGTGTCGAGTTCATAGTGAATAAGTAGTGAGACACGTACATGTGCAATGCTGGTAAATTTCCTTCAACTCTGCATTTTGACAGGCAGATTTTGTTAAAATGTATCTTTTAAACAAAGGTGATGCGGTATATAAAACAAATAATGACCGCTTATTTTTCTGGTCATGGTTAAAACTACAGTTTCTCGGTGATCTTGAGACGGCCCTATACCCCTCCACTTTGTCTCGGGGCACAGTATAGTTTCAATATTACCCTTGGCAATAGTTTTAACCGTTCTCCTCAAAGCAGTCAATATTTGTATATTATTGCTGCTGTTGCTACGACCACTACTATTACTTCTACTACTACTATTACTACTACTACTACCACTACCACTACCACTAATACTACTACTGGATGTATCGCTATAAAAACAACTATTTTTATTTTTATATATATACTACACCTCCTTGGTATATTTCAAGAATTATCCATTGACCTTTTGATTTATATTTCACCATTTTTTCCCTCTTACAGCAAACTGTGTGACCCCCACATGACCTGTTTTGAACCCGAGGCCAACGGGTTCCTCATAGAAGGGACAGATTTCCACAAGTTCTACTTTGACACTCGTAAGTTTGCCAAGGTCCATTGGGGCCATTCTTGAGGTTCGTTTAGATACGAAGTGGTAAAACCGCTGTGTTTCTTTAGAGTGACTCAGTAACATTGCCTCAGATTCTGAAACAAAATCCTGGATTTAGCTTATGCTGCAATCATAATTATAAACCTTCAGGTCAGTCAGGAATCCCATGACTTTTTACAAGCCGATCGCCTGTCTGATTATCAAGATATTTATAATTGGAAATCAAAATTTCATTTTTCTTTTTTCTAACAGATTTTATAACACTACAGTCTATTGGGGAAAATGATTATAGTAAAAACCGATCACTCAAGGATTTTTTAATTTCTTGAGGCACTTCATGATCATCTTGAAGTGCAATTTTTTTAGGGCTTCAATATTATACCATATCACAGACACTGAGGACCATGCATCTCAGATTCAACATTGTTAAACGATGCTTTTAATGATGTGAAAATGAATGGCAACTTTGCGCAACAGATGAACTACATGTTTATACCCAGTTCTGCGTAATAACATACAGAAATGTGAAGTGTAGATTACACTTACATCATTATAGAAAAAAAATTACAAATTACAAAAATGCCTCAGTGTACTGTCTCATATCTGAACAAGGCTTTAGTTATGTGTGTGAGAACGAACCATGAGAAAATGTATTATGTATGCACGGTATATTGCATTTCCTTTGCAATAACAAAATGCTTCACAACTTTCTCTGCTTCATTTCACTTCTTTTGTGGCCTTTACCTTGAGCTAACGGATAGTGAGTGCAGAAGGTTTTAAATGTGATAAATTGGACTTGCAATTTTACCTCAATCCAGTATACATATTGATAAGAGTATAGATGAATGCAGTTATGTCCACAATAACCGACAGCTCCCAAAAGATTTAGCAAGAGAATGCGTCTTTCAAATTTGTTGATATTGCTTGCGAGGAATAAAAATGGATGAAGGAAGAATTCATTTCCATGGCAAATTACTTTAAAACTCATCTTCTTCTTGAATTTTGTTTATACATTGATGTGTACAGTGTGGAATAAGAACACTCGAAACCGGAATGTGACCATCCTACATCCCAGAGTACATCTTCTTGGTGATGATTCAGCAGCCATCGCTTACGTCAGGCTCACCCAGTTCATTGACAAGTAAGACTGGTCTTCATTTTTGTTACATAAGGAGGGTGTTTCACAAAGATCTTAAGTTGAACTTATCTCTAAGTTGGACTTAACAATTATGGAAAGCCATTAGCATCTATGAAAATAATTGTAAAATTTGTTTTAAAAGGCATAAGATGTTGATTCAAATCACTCATATTTTATCAAGGAGGTATCATGTTCTTGATATGGAATATATAAAAAGTCCAAATTACTTGATTTTTCGCTTTTGAATATATTCCATTTTAAGGCTACAAATGGCTTTCCATAACTTTTAAGTCCAACTTAGAGTTGAGTTCGACTTAGGGTCTTTGTGAAACACCCCCAAGGGTTATTTTTAAGGGCATCAAATACCTTGTATGGGGTTTTCATGCTTGTATCCTTAGTCAATTTATCAGCTTTAAATGTTGGTTCTTTTAACCAGACTCACCCAGTTCATTGATAAGTAAGACTGGTCTTTATATTTGATGGGTGAGGAGTGTTTTTAAGGGCATCAAATACCTTGTTTGTTCAGTATGTATGATGTTGTCTTTGCCTGTCGAAACAAGGATCGTGGGTTTTAATCCAACACAAGTGCTTGTATCCTTTGTCAATTTCTCAGCTTCAAAAGTTGGTTCTTTTCAGCAGCATTTTAAGTTTAGATACCAAAAAGGAGGCGAGTTGGTTGGTGAAGCATCTGCCTGTCGTATCAAAGATCCTGGTTTCAAATCCAACCCCAGCGGATGACTGAAGCCTGTATTATGTGTTTTACATGCCCCTTCCCATGTTTATAGACACAGTCTATGTTACAGTGGAAAGCACTATGTCCCTCAGATATGATGTAAAATAGAGGCCATGTGTAAAGGAGAGTCACCACCACCAACACCACCACTACCCCAACCATCATCAAAACAACCAACCACCATCACTACCACCATCACCATCACCATCACCACCACCACTACCACCATCACTACCACCACTACTACCATCACCACCGCCGCTACCACCATCACCACCACCATCACTACCACCACCACCACCACTACCACTACCACCATCGCCACCACCATCACCATCACCACTACCACCACCACCACTACCACTACCACCATCACCACCACCATCACTACCACCATCACCACCACCACCACCAATACCACCATCACTACCTTCACCACTTCCACCACCATCACCCCCACATCTCTGACTTTTAACACCACCACTACCACTACCTTAAACATTATGATCACCATCATCACTCCCCTCATTACCACCACCGACTACATGATTATTACCAGCACCTCAAGAACCACTCATATACCCTGTAAGCCAATACCACCCCCATTACCACCACCATCACCATGCCCTCACCACCATCATCACCTACACAGTCACCCTCAACACCTACCGCTGCCAATATAACCATTACCAATGCATGAACCTATTAAATGCATCACAAATTGTCTTTTTCCTCTTAAACTTCTCACCATCATCATCATCACCGCCGGTCTCCGATGTCTCACTATTCTATTTATTTCATCTCATTACAGGGCCGGTAATCCAGTGACGCACCAATCAGAAGAGACCCGATTATGGCATCGTCGGGACGGCAAGTGGCTGGTAGTGCACTTCCACAGGACAGGCCAACCCAGCATTAGCAAGTAGCCCGCCCTCTACGGCACCCAAACCCTCTCAAGATTGGCAAGAAAAGGAGGCGGAGGACTCGCGTCATCAATAACCAAATGAAAAAAAAAATATTACGTATAGTGAATGACCAGCAAATTTTTGAAAAAAATACAGAACGAAATCCGCCTCTTTGAGAGTGCATAGAAGCGAAGCTTTATTTTGTTGAGATCCGATTGAATGTGTTAATACTTCTCTCTTTCCTTCTATGTATGTGTGTGTGTCAGGTAAAGCTCCCTCTATAGGGGAGTGGGTGTAAGGGTTTTACCTAGGCATTGATTGGTTGGTTTTATTTGAAGAGCCAGGAGTGTTGTAATGTGAACAATCTGGAGGGCAATTGGAACTTGGAGACTTTGTCGGGTGGAATGGAACTTGGGGGGGATTTGAGAAGCGCAAGGTATTCCAGGAATTGGGCTCTTACATTGCCAGATGGAATGTTTAGGGAGAGAAACAAGTAATGTGTTCTCCTCTGTTCAGGCTAGGCTGTTAAGGTTAAGATGATATGCCTTAAAAGATAATAGGAACCGTTTGATGATGAAAGTGTGGTGTCGATTATTGCACTAAACCTTAGTGTAATCGATTCTCCATTGTTCAGGATATACACCTTGGTGTTGTCTGTGCACAATGCAGTGTAGGGCGAACACCTTGGTGTTTGAAGGCAGCATGGTGTTAACGATACACCTTAGCATTGATTTAGACTTCCCAGCATTTGATTGCTGCGAAGGCTGGCAGTCGATGCTTGGTTGGTTTGCCTGGGTTCTAAAATGCCTACTAACTTTTGATTTATTTACCACAGTGGTCGATGGAGAGAGATGGTGTTTGCTCAATTATGAAAAGTTTAGGGTCTGTCAAGAGTTGACCTGGTGGATCGTTGATTGGTTAAGGTTGCTTCTAGTCCACCAGGCATGTTCATGCCGGGAGAAAAACACAAACCGTTTCTCTGGTAATTTGGAGAAAGATCTGCTTGTTTTTTATGACAAGATTTAAGGAACGAGCTCACTGTCCACTGTGGATTTATGGGTAATACCGTGCAAGTCATGCTTAAATAGCCGGTGGCAGGCTCATTGGAAAATGGAATATATACAGGAAAGAATGTGTTATTTAGTTGAATTTAGAATCCATGTGTTTGTTGACCGAGAAGTCTGTATGTTTGTGAATAATATTGATGTTTTTTGGTAGAGTATTAGTTATTGATCCTGATAGTCATGTAAAGGGTATATTAATCATGATAGTCCCCTTATAAAGGGACAGACTGTCGGAAGAAGAAAAAAAGGAGTTTGAAAAAACCCTATTAAGGCATGAAAGCTGCCTCTGTATTTACTTCTCTTGCTTGTTAATATGAACAAAGAAATCTTTTTATGTAAAAAAAAAAAAAATCACATTTAGAAAACTATGTTTGAATTATACTGTTTAGATGAAGGTTCTATCAAATATACCTTAAATTCTGGTTATTTTAAGCTAATTTTTCTAGTTGTAGTGTACAATCATTTCAGATTGCTTTTAAAATACTTGTATGACTCTAGACATACCGATTGCTTTTTCAGAAGAATGCTGGCAATTTCATTCTGAATATTCCTGTTATGTTATAAATGGAACGATAGAAATGTAAGTATTTGTTTCAGGTGGGTTTTCTTGTAAAGGTTTGTTTTGTTCCTTCAGTGAAACGATTCTTGAATTTGATTCTCATCTGCGTCTCAAGGGAGGACAATCTACACTACAGGGTTTATCATACATGATATATCTTGGTGACGGGAGACAATTAATATAGATGGGAGACATTCTTTATTTCTGTTCCAAACATTATTGCAGCTCTGGGCTCTCGGTAATGCTGTACCAGTGTGTGTGATTTGATGTATGAAACCATGACACAGAACCTCATGTCCCTTTCATCTCACTTTTTGAAGATTTGAATTTACCAACTTTTACAAGAAGTAGTTCAGGAGGTAGTTGGAACTGTTCAGGCTTTTCCTGGAGGTGGAGTTATGGTTGGAAGTGCAGGAATTTTAAAGATGAACTCTGATCTCCCTGTTGTCTATTATACAAATTGTGATGCTTCTTTTTGGACAATCTGACATGTAACAGTAAATGAGTTATTTGGCATGGTTGGGCTTTGAGTTTCAATTTTCATTTGGGTCAAGAGTGTATGAAATAATATGACTAGCAATTGGGCATAGAGCAGTATGACATCATCGTTTTGTCAACTTTTGAACTTGAACATTGAATGAAATACTGTACCATTTGAAAATCGAAATTGTTTGAGAAAGTCCAAAGATTTTTGTCAGTTTTGTATTTTATATTAATCTTTGGTCACTTCCCTGGGTCTAATTTCTATCACATTCATTGATATGCTAAACTTTTCCTGTTATGAATCTTGCAAAAGTAAACAAAATTTGCCTTTTCATGTAATTTCCCAAACCATCCTTTTATATTCCCCTGTCCCATCTGTTGTGTTGAACATGTCATCATAGGTTTTAACACCTCCTCCACCCCCCCCCCAATCAGTACCCTGATTAAATAAATTTTTACAATTCTGTCTAAAGGAAGTTGAAATGTTAGATGTAACATGGTGTGTTATTAGGAGAAGGCTTGGAGCTGCAAACCCTATCTGTGCAGACTTTAAACCTTGTTTTTGTCAAGATATTATTTCTATTAATACATGCTCTAAACATGTTCTTGATACATGCCCCAGAAACCAAAGAGGACTATCTCACTCTCATCCTCAATTATGTAGGGAAGATGCTAACCCATCACAGTACCAGAGCCTTTTCTTTTTGCTTTGCAATATTAGAAAAACTTTTCCACACAGGCATTTTTTCCCTTTTTATTGGGACATGCAAGTCGTATCCACGTATATGACACTTAACAAGCCAAAGGGATCAATATATTAGGAGTTGGCAATTTCTGTCATTCATACATGAAAGTGCAATAGCTATCGAAGTTGATAGTTGTGCAAAGACTGTTTAGAGGTTGTGAGAAAAGATGCAATAGGACCTTTCTGAACAAATACAACCAACCGGAGAGGGGAGGAGAGATCACTTATTGTGATCTGTACCAAACCTACTTACCGGTAGTAAGCACTCAACGTTTATAGTAAGATACAAGAGTAGAGGAGTTTAAACCCTTCCCAAATCCTGTTCTTTAAAACAATATTTTTTTTTCAAGATCATCATGGACTGGTTTCACTGTAATTGTCCTCCCAAACTCTCCGATATTGCACCTGTAAAGAAAAAAAAACCCACTTTGTCAACAATACAGCTTTTTCTAAGCTGGATTTGTGCCTTTTTGAAGATGTCAGTAAGTTTGAACTAAAAGGACCTTAGTAGATTTAAGTACATGTAGTTGTATTATTGTCTGTTCTCATTGTAGGGTAGAGGATCGCATGGAGGGAAAGATTTGATGTAAACATGGATCTTAAATATGCAATGTAAACGGGATATTTTTGTTGTTCTCTCTGACGGTCTGTCGAACATGGTGTCTATGTATGTGGGAACGGAGAATGGAATTTTTTTCTTCATTTTTATTGATGTTGATGTATGGTATGTGTATATGAGTCAATATGTGTTAACAATTCAAGATTCAAATGACGGTCGTTGGGTGAGAGGGAGCGGCCGAGGAGAGGTCCGTGCAACGGAACTCGTACGATTAAATAATGTTCAACCATTTTGATTGTCACAAGACATACATGTAAAACTGCAGAATAAGCAAACAAAAAAGTGAATATAAATATTTATTCAAGAAGATTTTGTGATATATCTTACTTAGTGTCATGGATATAGCGTGTGCTTTGGCTGCACTAATGACAGTGATGATAAAGCAATGATAATCACAGATAAGTAGATTAGTATTATGATATATATATAATGTATCTATCCTTAGCACCAACTGTATTTTGGAGATATGGTCATTATGTTTATGTTTGGTACAGATTCCCTTTCATGCATTGCATTTGCTTTTTCTATTCTTGAGAAATGTATGATTATAGATGTCTTTTTTTCTTCAAATTAACTTTTCTTTGCAATTAGATAAATTTATATTACTGATATTATCATTATTGTTTGGTGTAACAATGTTTAATATATATTATTGCTAGCTCCTAAATATATGTGCATATTTGTCTTGGAATATATAAAATCTCTCTTCTTTTTGTTGGAAAGCAATGTAACTAGTGTAATGATTTTCTAATGAGTATATGTGGCTAATCATGTAATTTGTAGAGGTAGTGTATTTTTCCTATTCATTTGAGAATGAATATTTCTTGTTTCATTTTTCAACTCGCTCACGTGGAAGACTGCTGCAAAAAGGAAAAAAAAACAAATGTATTGAATTGAAGGATCTGCAGGAGCGGCATCCGAGTACAACATTACCTCTTACTTTGTGCATCTAACACTTTGAATCTCGCACTTGTTGAAACCTCTGTATCTACCCTATAGCAGATACAAGGAGGCGGTAAAGTAGGGGTTAAGGAGATAAGTGTTTCAATGCACGGTGACAGGTTTACGCACTACAACGAAATAAGACTTGTACAATCTATATATTACTCTTTGCAATGTAAACTTCTTTCTGTTTTTGTTTTCTTCTCATTGGGAATGTACATATTTTTCAAATTGCACATACATGTAGATGTTTTTGAGTCAGTGCAAGAATGGCTTACCAGAAGAGAGCTGGTCACTTATGTAGAGATGATATGGTTATATGTAGTAGTATTGTCGGGTGCAAAAGGGTGTATCTGCCAAATCGTCTGCTGGCATGGCATGGCGGGGCATCTTCCTTTTCAATGTTCATTCATGGCCTGTTCATACCACGTTGACTAGAGATCCCAACTACATGTAACTTCATACCCTGCAACTGTCTAATCCATCCCTTTCTCTGTCAACATTCATTAATGGTTCAATCTCATCTACATCTATTTCGAAAACTTGAATCTCTGTTAAATATAAAAGGACTCGCAGAAGAGTTTCTGCCGCCAGCCCCCAAATCATTTTTATGACGTTTCCCTTTTGCATTATTCCATGGTACCTCCTTTTTTTTTTTAGTGCAGAATTTTAAAATAATTGGAATTTGGGGGTGTAATTAATTCAGGATGTATTGGGTTATCTGCATGTAGCTATTTCGGATTTCATATAGCAATGATAATGAAGGTTGGTACTTGCTGCTGGAATTCTGACAGAGAGACACTGTACCAACATGTGGCATCAGCAGTCATATAACGCCCTTCTAGCACCAGTACCCACACAGATATTTTTTTATATTTCTGTCCCCCCCCCCCCCCTCAGAAAGGAGGACAGTAGCCTTTTGGTGTGCTATCTGTCCCTTCCCTCTAACCAAATGCAAGGAGCTCATTGAATATTCCTCTTAAATGTACATACTTTAATAATGACTTACGAGAAACTTAAAACCTGGTATTAGGTTTAGGCTTACAGTAAACTAAGGCCTCTGTATTGCAAACACCACATGGTAAAATGAAAAGGAAGATACCCACATGCCAAAATTCAGACACGTTGGAGATATAGCGCCCTCTATAGTCGGTTCATCCTCATGTTGGTTTAATGGTGTAGATGGCAGAGTATTACACTGAATCTAGGAGTGATAAATGTATACTATTTTTACTTGCTGTGTGTCTCTGAGACTTGTATAAGAGCACTACTGAAATAATGGCATATTCACCCCTTTAGTTTATTGATATCATTTCGAAACAATCTTAAGCCATAAAGAATTCCATTTAAAAACCCATTATTGTTGATTTTGAAATTATTTCACGACGGAAATGCTGCTTTTTGAGTCGATAGATTAAAGGATTTCAGTGTATAAGTAAAGGAGAAGAAAAAGAAATTAAAAGGGAAAAATAAATAACAAATTACCGGTAGGTGACATTGATACATTCTAAAGAATTGTATGAATTATTGGGATACAAAATGTATACATGGCAATGAAGATGCCAATGAAGAGGTCAGATACCCGTGTTCTCTAGAAAAGAAGAGGGCATTCTAATTGATTTTGCATCTTCAAGTTTGGGAAGTAAAGATGGGATGAAAATCTGGAACTTTCATGGGGACTCCAAGTCAGGATCAAACAGTAAGACGTGATCAAGTACGATGCTCGGTCTCGAAGAGAATTAACTCGCTATCGATGGACGCTCGTCACAGGTCGTTTCAATTTTATGTTTTCATTCTTATCGGTGTCTAAACTTAATATCTTTTCTTTAAGAGTAGAGCAAGGTATATTCAGCACCCTTTGGTAAACTCTCTTTAAGATCTGGTTGATTAGTTATGGGCCATTTATTGAATATACCTGGAAATAAATGTGCAATTTGACTACACTCTCTGATATCCTGTGGTAAATTTGTACCAGTTGTCTTGTACAGTAATAATAATAATAATAAAAGCTCACATTTATAATGCGCCTAATACTCTGTTTCTAGGCGCAGTATATATTATTACTCCGGTCAGGCATACCCGCACACAATGTATGCACATTCTCCACTCCCTGGGGAGCATTCCGGCCATTCGCCATTTTACAAGCACCACTTACTCATCCAACCACATTAACTTTCGCATCCTACCCATTTAACACCTGGGGGAAGAGTGGCAAATGTAGATTAACGTCTTGCCAAATCCTGTCCATCTTGGGATGAATGACAAAAATGAAGCCTAAAAGTTGTGAAAAGTAGCCGATTTATTCTTCAAACACAATTTTAGCAGAGTTATGGTCCTCCCAGTATCCACATTGTCACAATCAATACCTTTCCTTTCCTTAATTTAAAAATAAATCATTCTGCATGCACAGCACTAATTTTTTTTCTGGGGGGAGGGAAGTAAATAGTTACAGAGTCGATTGAATCACTGCATTTGCAAGTACAAAAATATTTCAATAATATCATACTGCAACATGAATATGTTACAATAGCCAAAAATTAGAATACAGGGTTTAACAAAACAATCTTCAAAAATTTGTCATAAAATACAATCTTCCTTAAAATATATTTACGATCAAATCCATAATCTCGACTATGAATGTCAAGGATATGTACTGCTAGTGATAAAAGTTGTTATATCTGACTAAGATTTGACTAACTCATTGCAGGTGAATGCAATGTGAATTCTATAATAAAGCAACACAAATGGTCCTACTAAATACTATAAAAACAATTATGAAGGAACAGAATCGTGTAAGAAAATTGATTTAAATTTTGGGATGTCAAGTTTGAACATTTGTTTTTAGTTTAGCAGAAAAGAATGATTTCTAGTAGAGCAGCACTATTAAAGAAGCTGGACAAACAAATGGGAAATTCTACATTCTAACAATATGCTATGAAATCCCAAGTTTGCCTCCCAGTTTGTCAGGTATGACGCCGTAAACCACAGCCAAAAAACCTAAACAAAATGCGGAGGTTTTTTCACGTGTAAATGAATAGCAACTATGCACAACACACAGACCTGCCAACCAGTACGGTACGATTTAGTCGTATTTCGTACGATTTTTAGAAGCAAATACAATTTTCCTCAATAAAATACGATTTTTGTGTGTGTGTGTGTGTGTGTGTGTGTGTGTGCCATTTTCAATGGCAAAATGCCCACTCTGTCCTGTAAAGTATCCTACAAGCATCTCACATCGGCAATTTGGGGATGTTCATTGGTTCATCAAACACAACAGTCATGATGAAATCATGCATATTCAACCAATGATCCATAACAAAAAGTCTTCCGCGTAACAGTACGCGTTTATTTTTAAGAATACAACTTTTGTCAGTAAAATACAACTTTTGGGATTAAAGAATACAGTTTTTGAACTCCAGAGGTTGGCAGGTCTGAACACAATTGTCCTGCGCACATTCATAGAACTCTGTGTTATTAGATAGAGAAATATGATTCGTATATTCACTTCACATCGTGAAAAAACTGCCGTCGATTTGCAGCGTCATATCTTAACAAGGCCTTATCGGAATATATGCAAAATGAATCAAGTTGCCTGCAATGAGTATTTGAAGAGCTTAATTCCAAAAGGAACTAAATCCACTTTTGATGAATATTGAGTTATCGATATCAGAACATTGTTTACTTCAGTACCCATCTTTCAACAAAAGTATTTACCTAAATTTTGGGAGCAATTATGAAAAAATTCACCTTCTAATATCACTTTTTCATAGACGCCTGTACAAACTCTGGTAAACAAATGCATTTTTCTCTCAAGTTACAAAAATGGATTTAGCTCCTTTGGAATCAAACTCTTCATTTGTAGTATTGCTTTCAGTAAATCCATTACTGATATCTGCAATTGGTGCATACCAAAGCGAATTGTACAACAGAGTTTTGCCAACTCTGTTTCAGTGGATAGCAAATCAACACGCTGCTTTGCTGGAAAAGCACAAAACAAAAATCTAAGAGCCATTCATCCACCGTCTGTGATTAAATTCAAGAAATTATGCATGTACTCTGATCTACTCTACTCTACTCTTAAGTTTATCCAACACCTTCAAAAGGCTTTTACTATTCTAAAGAGATCTCTGGCGAAAGCGTTTCTAATTTCCCAATTTTCACGCATAGAATGAATGAAACGGGGAGCTTTATTACTGGGGTCGTGTATAGTTCTTTAGAACAACTTCAAACTCAGCGGAGTTTCCAGAGTAAGAGCGTGACGGTATTACCGGCCCAGCTTTGGTGTAGCCTTTGTGTGTTAGACGATATGTCCCTGTTACCTGGTCCTCGGGAATCTCCCAATAGATGGTAGCTGTGTTAGCCATCATTGCACCTGTATGGTCAGTCTCCCAGTAGAACCTAGGATAGTAATAGGATGGTAATAGGATGGTAATAGGATGGTAATAGGATGGTAATAGGATAGTAATAGAATAGTAATAGGATGGTAATAGGATGGTAATAGAATAGTAATAGGATAGTAATAGAATGGTAATAGGATGGTAATAGGATGGTAATAGGATGGTAATAGGATGGTAATAGAATAGTAATAGGATAGTAATAGGATAGTAATAGAATAGTAATAGAATGGTAATAGGATGGTAATAGGATGGTGATAAGATAATAATAGGATATGATATTAATTATAATAGAATAGTAAAAGGATAGTAATAGGAATAATACATGGACAAGAAATAGTACTACTCACAGTAGTAGTAGTAGTCATGATCTACTGGGGTAATAGTAACACCCTGTAAGCATTTTGGTCAATTGTTATTGGTCAAGCCTTTTATAAGGCACAGCTAAGATCGTTTAGGGAGATGTGAGTTGGTCTAGCGGCACGTTCACTTTGTCAGCTCTCTGTCCTCGCCTACAAACTGAGTCGCGTCTTTCGGATCTTCCAGACGTAAATAATCTTTGGATGACATAACATAATGTATGACCAATTGCTAAAGGGAGGATCTGTACATCTTTAGTGATTAATAACTCCTTTATTCCTTGTTAGATCTCCCCCAAATTTATCGACCTGTTTTTCTGATGTTTTTGCTTCTTCTCAGGCAAGTTTACGAAAGGTTGATTCCTCATGAAACATTAACTGCCGGTCAAGAACTAGGAGGGTGTCTGCGCTGTGTTAAAGGGTTACAACTGTTTAATAACGGGCCGTCTATGTGTAGTGGGCAAAATGCTAAGGAAAGACTTCCAGACTATAGGGTGTGGCATATCGAAGGGCCAGTGACACAAGGACTTAACTTCATTTTGGCCGTTTTTAGAAAAAGTGGTTTAAAGTCACTGAGCACTTGGGCCTTGAGGAGTTAAGTCTATGTTTCACTAGCCATTGACTTCAATGGGGTGTTGGGTGGAGTTGAGTCTTTGTGCTTCATGGAAAGCCCACGTTTTTCTGAACATTTTGCTATCAAATACTCATTTTGGCAAAATATGACGTCTTTGTGTCACTAAAGCCTTGATATGTAGCTATCTGTATTTACATCATAATGCCCTTCTGGCTCTTAGAAGATATAACCAGTACAATGAATATTACCTTACAGTTTGTAAACCAACAAAACAATTTTTAAAATGGTCCTCAAATAAAAAACCTACAGATCAATTTGTTCGTTCACAGCCAGAAGGGCGTTAACTCTCGTGTTAAAATAAATGAGATAACAACCTTCTGGCTCTCAACAGACGAATGAGTCCTTGGGGGTGTATCACAAATTCTAAGTCGGACTTAAACATTATGGAGAGCCATTTGTAGCCTTAAAATAAAATATATTCAAAAGCAAAAATTCAAGATTTTAGACTTTTCATAAATTCCACATCAAGAACATGAAATCTCTTTGATAATAGAAAATATAAATGATTTTAATCAACATTTTATGCCTTCTAAAATAAGTTTTACAAAATATTTTCAAAGATGCTAACGGCTTTCCATAATTTTTAAGTCCAACTTATAATCTTTGTGAAACACCCCCCTTGACTAACAAAAGACTACACAAACTAACCTGGTAGACCAATCTGTGTCGGTGAATATCGTCTGCCATAGCGCTCCGTTATATTGCTGAACTTCTAGAAAGGTATCCTCTAACTGTAAGAAGTAATAAGAAAAAAAAATAGATCAGTTAAAGCTGATGTACAGGTTTGCGAAGCCCTTAAAATATTGTCATGAGATTTCTTTGATTTTAATAATAATAACTTGAATAATGCATGTACCGATAGCTGTAGAAGAGTTCTAAAAGTCTTTTGTGACCCATCTAAAAATATTTCATGCACGACTTTATAGATTAAATGCATTCAAAAGGAATTCATACACAAAATGAGTTACAATTTAATTATTTCCTCTTTAATTGATTTTTTCCTGAGTAATTTGTCTACATGTGTATGTGAAATAGCTATTTTTAAGAAGAGGGGAAAAATGACAATAACACAATGATAACTTGATTGTGGGTATAAACAGAAAGACAAGACAAAATTTCATTTCTGAAATCTTCTCTTAGCTATGCTGCTGCCCATGACACAAGTTATAGGAAACATACTCTACACAGGGTCTTTAGACTACATTTTATCAAGTAATAAATGAAATTGCTATTTCTGAAGCACATGAGACCACAATGTTTAAAGGTCATCTTTACTAGTTTGGCTAAGAGGGATTAGACCACCCAGGGAGGCAGGGCTCAAATTAATTTTTTGTCCACGGGGGCTCTTCCCCCCCAAAAAGAGCCCCCGTGAGCCTTCTCAGGGGGAACTTTTAGTACTGACGGGGGCTTTTTTTTGTATACAAATATCCAATGAATTGGTACCTATGATACTCCTCAATTATTTGCTATTTCATCATTATCATTTTAATCAGCATTTTCCCTCTTACAAATTTACAAGCTACATAGCTGTTACTATACGCATACAACACTGATCTTTATGATGTCTTTAACGTGACATATCTTCTTCTCCCCTTGCAAACGAGAAAGAAAACAAGGTCATTAAAAGGGATTAAGCGACAAATAATGATTGTGATTCAAATTGATGCGAATATTTGTTTGAATAAGCACTGCCAATCTTCTTTTTAAAAACAACTTTTACAAATCTCAGCCATGCTTACTGAGTTGAGACGTTCCATTCAATGTAAAATACTCATTAAAGAATACACTTCTCCTAATCTGAAAGTGATCTTACAACACAGTGGCAGATTTGCATGGCTGAGATTTGTAAAAGTCGTTTTTACAAAGAAGATTCTGGTGAAAAGCATTGCTTATTCAAAAAAATCCTTGCATCAATTTGAATCACAATGATTATTTGTCGCATGATCCTTTTATTAAATAACCTTGTTTTCTTTTTTTTTAGCAGGGGGAGAAGAAGCTATGTCACGTTAAGAAATCATAAAGATCAGTTGTATTATGCGTATATGATACCAGAACAAATGTTGATTATCAGAATGTCATTTTGGAATACCTCTATACAAATACCACATTGTCTTTAGCCCGTATCAGTATTAGTATGATCCAATATAAAGCTATTATTCTTTATTTAATTCAGTATAATGCTTTTCCTCAAAAATAGTTTTGCTATTTTTTTAAGAAATGGTTTCAAATGTACATTACACGAACCCTGAACCATTGCAAAATGATGGTGGTTCTCTCTCTCTCTCTCTCTCTCTTTATTTTAATCATGCATTATCAACTACATATAAAGCAGCAACCAAAAACTTAGGGTTATCTGAGATAGGTGAAAGTAAGAGTTAAAAAGAATGTCATGCTAAAACGGCACTTCACTTCCCCCCCCCCCTGAAAAAAAAAAAATAGATTAGTAGTCCTCCTCTCCAGCATCCCCCCGCTTTAATATCACATTTTCACTTGGCAGCCCAAGGGGGCCGGGGGGGGGGGGGGGGGGGGTTAAACCCCCTAACACCCCCCCCCCCCCCACGTAGATCTGCCCATGTTACCATATCATTCCACGACATCTTGGTCTTCCTCTTCTTCTCAATAGGGACTTTTAGATTTGCGTGGACGTGGACGTGTTACGTCCTTTTAAGGCACTGGCAGTCACATGTGACGTCCTTTTAAGCACTGACACTGCCATAAAAGGAGGTCACACGTTGCAGTCTTCGTTCTCATCGTGCAAAACTAAAAGTCCCTAATATTGATTTACTGGTCGAGGTTCATTATTTGCTGGTCATTTGAAATCACTAGATTTTAGCGGGTTAACGCTTTCACAACGTAAAACTTCTCCATGACCATTTCTGCCCTTGCGCGATCGCCTCCAGCTCCAGCAGACATGGCGCGGCAGCGTGCATACGTACCGCTACTAACGGCGCAGTAGGCCTATAACCACTGCTGCCGGCGGCACTGCAGTTGCGAGCTGAATCGGTAATAATAGGCCTACTCATAAAACGAGAAATCTTGCACGCTAATCTAAGTTCCATTTCATTGGTTTAAGGTTTGAAAATTGAAACTCAATATTGTGTTAAAGTTATAACAGAAAAGATAATCTTTACTTTATAATTCCACGGGGGCGATTTTCAATTTTGCAATCGCCCCCGTGAGCAACCTGACGGGGGCGATTATGTAGCTCACGGGGGCGAATCGCCCACCGCCCCCATGTATTTTGAGCGCTGCAGGGAGGTCACTGACAGGTGGCTATCTCATTAACTCAGCTCTCAGTTAACATAAGAAAAAGAGGATCATGGGGGACCAATGGTCACCGATTAGGCATTGTTTTCTATATCGAGGGGAGCAAGTACATACAAATAGTACAGTGGGAATTTAAAGGACAGAACAAGAATAAGAGATATTAAAAGATTACCATGCCAAGAGTGTTGTGCCTGGGGTTGCAGGCCCAGAACGTTGCTGTCACTACAGATCCCTAGGGAGAGGAAGGGAGAAGAAAAGAAAGGATATCAGCTTATTTTTTTTTTTTTTTTTTTTTTTTTTTTTTATATTTCAAACGTGTTCATAACAAAGCCTGTATTTGTTAATTGTTATCATCTGTCAGCACTTTTTACCTTCTATCCCAGTTTTTTTTATACTTTAAAATAATTTTTTTTTTTAAATTTGTAATAGAACTTGTTAATCTATAAAATTAAGAAAAAGGGTTACACTGCAGTTATAATTGTAATACAGTGTAATTATAATATTATTATTGTCATCATCATCATCATCATAATTATTACCATCATTATCATCATCATTGTAGTTGTTATCATCATAATTATCATCATCATCATAATCACCACCATCATCATCATCATCATCACCATAACCAACATCATCACATCGTCATACAGTTAAGTCTTAGGCTTAAAAATGCAACTAAAAAGTGTAGCCGATGCAGGTGAAAAAATAAATTCAGATTTTTTTTTTCCTTAAGACTATAATTCTGTTTAAAGATGAATAAGCTTGCCCTCTTCAAGTTCAAATTGAAAAAAATTGTGTTTGCCTTTTACTAAACTATATAGACACGATTCTATGATTCCATACCTGTCTGTACTTTGGATCCACATCAATGAAAATGTCCCCTGCACGAGTTCCATCAGGAAAGGTATCATCCCTAGTAAACATCTGGAGACCACGTTGAACATTCAGGAGATTTGGAGGGTTTGGACCTGCTTCGATTGGGGTCCCCTGCACAAGAGACATGTAGCTTAGTGGTTTGGACACTCAACTGAGATTAAATAGGTCCTGGATTCAAGCCCTGGCATGGTATTTTTGTATTGAAAGGCTATGGTGAGTAAGAGTGGTCCAATTCTTGCGCCAGGAACGTCACAACAAGACGGACAAGTGCGTAATACAAGAATCCACCATTATTATTATTACTATTATTATATTAAAAATACCCGTATGTTATGTTGAGGCCCTATTTCACATGTACTCTGGGATAGTTTGGTGACCAAGTCACTTCAGGGGGGGGGGGTGTTTCACAAAGACTGAGATTGACTTTAAGTTGGACTTAACTATGGCAGGCCGTTCATGCCACTGTTTGCTCTCACGATTAACTCCCATTGGTCTCTCATAGGACGTACAAATTATGGTCACAAATCTACAGAATTTACATTTTTTGATAAATCATTACCGGTATTGAAAGAAAATACTATATTTAAAGATCATAATGGTGAGAGCAAACAGTCGCATGAACGGCCTGCCATAGCTAAGTCCAACTTAAAGTCAATCTTAGTCTTTGTGAAACACCCCCCTGGGACCCATTTCACAAAGCCTTTTTTTCAATGACAAATGAGACAAATCAGTGACAAATCAGCTGATAACCAATCAGAAGCAAAGATTTCAGTAGCTTATAACAAAAAACTGTCATTTGTCACTGATGACAAGTTCTGTGAAACACCCCCCTGGTCTATATTGCATGGCTGCGATCTAGGCATTTTGTGCATATTGGCGTATTGGCTACTGAAATGGTGAGTACTTATACAGTACTCATGTCTATCCTAAAGGACACTTCTCTAGCTCTAATGTCGCTATGTCAGTACCCTGGCTTTGAAAGAAAATGTCTAAGAATTATCCTGAATAGATTTGCAGTAAACCATGATGACCTGTATATTACGAGGTTACAAAATGACCAGAATATCATAGTACCATGTTACCATACAGATCAAAATGCATACCGGTAGTACAGTAGTACAAACACATGAGATAATACAAACTAATAAAAACTTTGAAAATCACAAGACAAATTGACAACTCACTCATGAGTCTGTGACGTCATTGCCTCACTATCCACTAATTGTTTTCTTTGTAGTGATAATGTAAATTTCCTATTTTCCCCCTAAGAATCTTATTTCTTCACACCAGCATCCAAGTTAGATTGATAGAAAAAAAAAAAATTATGTGGACACACTAATATAGAGTAATTTTTTTCAGTTAAATCATGAAAAATGGGAATATTTATAAACTATTTACATAAAACTCAATAATCATGAATATACAATATCCAGAAAATAGTATCAATTCTTCAAAGTTCATAAAAGATTTTGTGAAATGTCATTCACGCAATATGATACAAATCATATAAACTGGGGGAAATCAAGTTTTGGGGGGTAAAAAGGGAAATTAATGAAATTAAAATATATAAACCAAATTGGCAATTTGTGTAGTGATTTCCATTGTTCCATGGTTTTACATGCTTTTTCAAAGATTCATAACTTTCTTATTAGAAATTGGACTCTGGAAAGCTCCAACACAGCTCTGAAAAACACTATGAAATACATAAAAATCACTGCACTGAAACCTCACTGTAACTATGGCAAATTAAAAAAAAGGAGCTCCTGTAAACAAAAAACAAGTATTTTTGACACCGATACAAACGTATGATGAAACTGATTTGCCTGGATGATAAATCAAAGATAATCTGTTCCCCCTACCTGGACTAAGGCATCTGTGATCATGGTGTACTGCTGGATGTAAGCCTGCATTGTGTTGGGTCCATAGATGGTGGATGCTCCTTCATACCGCTGGATCTAAGGAAAATAACGATCACAATAAGAATCCAGGGGGTTGTTTCACAAAGATCCGAAGTTGAACTTATCTCTAAGTTGGACTTAACAATTATGGAAAGCCATTAGCATCTTTGAAAATATTTTGTAAAATTTATTTTAAAAGGCATTCATATTTTCTATTATCATGTGACATTTCATGTTCTTGAGTTCTTGAGTTAAGTTCGACTTAAAATCTTTGTGAAACACCCCCAGATGAATTTATAAGGCACAGGATAAACTGAAGAATCTATCTACGCAGTTAACATGGTAAATACATTTGCACAAAAGAAGCAAAAAACACAAAGTCCATAAAAGATGGAATTTACATCATTATCATATGTTGTGAATAACAGAACATGGTTATAGTAATATTCATGTCATGTGTGCCATACACAGTCAATGTTATGCTAAAGGCCTTTTAGATAGGATGCGGCGAAAACACTTTTTTTTGTTTAAGATGATGGTGTAAAGTGTAATTACTTCAGATTTCTGTATCTTATAATACAGAGCTTAGTGAATACACGCCAGTCCTTTGTTGTCCTCAGTTTCCATTCATTTACATGTTAAAAAAACCAGAGGCGGCTTTTTTGCGGTGGTTTATCTGAGCAAGCCTGAAGTAGTTGGTAATTAGGTGCAAATAAAAGAACAGTCCAGAATGGTAATTTTGTCCAAGATTAAGAATATCTTACTTCATACTCCTCTGGCGTGGTGATGTAATGTGTGTAGGTATTGGACAGTCCTGTGATTACAACTTGACCGTCTGCAACTCCAGAAGCATCTAGAACCTGATAAATGAATAAATCACACAATTATAACACTCCTCCAGAATTTCTTGTGACTTAATATCTATACTAAACTTTCAGAAATATAATTGGAACGTTCCTCTGGGCTTGATCTAGTCCAGTCTTTTCTCTCCAAGTTCTGGACTAACTTTTAAGAAAAAGAAATAACGTCAACATTTAACACATCTTATATATATATATACACAATGAATGGCAGTCTGCTTCTTCCTTTAAGAAATCACTGGTTAACTAAAAACACAAGTATTCTTTTCTTCATTCCTTCCATTGTTGATCTTTTTTACATGCAAGTATTTTGTTTACTGTCTATCTTCTTTTTGCCCATTACAATTTTTTCCTACAAATATTGTTGAGCTTTTAAAAGGCTTAAGACCTACATTCTCCTCTGCACTTGCATATATTTTTTTCCCTTTCAAATGACTACTCCCTGAACGATTAACATCCCTAGAAAATTACCCCTAGAAACATCTACATCTATCTCCCAGACAACGACCCCTGGAACAACTACATGTAACCCCTATTACACCAATTCTCAGATAGATACTTAACCCCCCTCCCCAGACCATCCCCCATCAACTGCCTCTCCCCTCCCCCTTTTCCCCACTCCTCCTACTGCAAGAAAGTACAATGATCTGAGGTAAATAGGGAAAATTTTCAAAGAGGGTAATTAAGCAGAAAGTTATTATCAAAAGGTGTAATTTTTTTGTCCGAGAGGGGGTTTACAGGGGTAATTATCCAAGGAGAAGGGATAACTGTCAAAGTGTGTGTGTTTTGAAAATGTATTGAATCATGTCAAGATAAAAAACAACTGTATTTCTAAGAATGATATGTACTGTTTTAGATAAAAAATTTAAAAAGTATTGAAAGAAGAAAAAAAAGTGTGTGTGGGGGAGGGGGGGGGGGGAAGTTGTCCTTAGGGGTGGTTTCCTAGGGGTAAGTCCCTATTCCACTCACCTCCTGTGCGGCATTCCTGAGCCTGCGTCCAGCCATGGTAGTGAACTCTCCTGGTACTGCTAAGATGAAGAGCTCTCCGATGCGTAGCACCTGAGTATCAACAATGTCGGGATGCCATTGCCATGGAGTCGACACCTAAAAAGAAAGATTCCTCATTCTCGTTTTCTGGGTTAAGGCAGGTTTAACCCTTAAAGGGCCATGAGGGGCATAATTCATCCCTCTTGACGAGCACGTGATACGTTCAATGATAATATTTTTGGCACCGCGAGGTTTCATGCCTTTATGGCCTAGCCTGTTATGCATCTTTTTTTACCAAGTATATAACATTTTCAACCAACAGATACCATGCATCATCACAAAGCACACGCTGCATGCAGCCCAAATCATAACTTGTCCAGATGTACGGTATTGTATGCAATGCAGAATTGTCAATTGGCGGATATGTGAATGGTTTAATAATTAGCGATAATTGAACAACTTTTTGAGATATAGATGGTAAACTTCATATAAACCAAGTTTCAGAATTTTCAGAAACTGAGGAACGCTGAAGGATTGCTTTGTGCAACAAAATGGCTTTGTAAAATTACCCATTTCTAGTCTTGATTAGCTCCATGACACAACCCTTTTAACACTGGTATAGATTTATATTCCCCTGGAAACAGTGAACCATTATCTTGAAGCCCTCCGTAAATCTATCCCATAATAAATACAATGTGGCACAGGGAGATTATTTGTGTGGTAGATGACGTGTCAAGAATCCTGACCACTCACCAAACTGCCAACTCAGTACCTGAGGTCATTGAGATTGGACTAATACATGCGCGTTAAAGCCCCACTGTACTACTTATAGCTACTTGCGCCCTCTATATAACAAACAATGCCTAATCGGTGACCATAGGTCCCCCATGATCCTCTTTTTCTTATGTTAATTGAGAGCTGATTTGATGAGACAATCACCTGTCAGTGACCTTGCAGCGTGGTCTCATCCCTCCTGTACACTAGTACAGATGGGTTTTAAAAGGTGAGTAGCCCAAATGCTCCTTAGGGAGAGGAGAATGTGCACTGCAATGTGCTGTATAGTAATTAAATCCAGTGAACCGGTCAATAATAATAATACATGTACATAACACGCTTTAATTGGTTGTAGCTGGTAAAGTGCTCTACAATAAACAGTTAAAGTTGCTCATGCGTTGGTATATAGAGGGCAGCACAAGGACGTACGCAAGAAAGCGTAATACCCGTTGTTATGTAGTGCTCGCCAAGTTACCTACTTCATGAACGACTATAAACCCACACATGAACATCTTTAATCATATTTACCTCTCCTGTAGGAAGAAGAACAGGTTTTGGAAGATGGCATTCAAGCATTTCCTGCGACGGTTCCTTGATCAAATCTCTCACAAAATCCCAGACAAGACTCCCCTCAGCATCTCCTAAAAATACCAAAACCAAGAAAAAAAATGAAATGAGAAAAGTAGGTAGAGGCGGAGGGACCCAACATTTGATCCAGCCATATTTGCTGTGGCTCTATTTTGTCAAATATATATGGTTAGGGTGAGGGTCGCAATTTGGCTTTAATTCAGGGTTGGAGTGAGGTTTAGTATTTGCTACATGGTAAAGTTAGGGATTCCTTCAGTGTAGATAATGGAATGCAGGATGCCAGTGCCTCCACCTCCACCCCACCAAAAAAATGAATACTAATATCTGACTTAAATTGATGAAGAGCACAATATATACTACCAATGCTTTAAAGCTCTTGCCATAATATGTCTAAAAAGGGAACTTTCTTTACAAGGCATTTCATTGGTTGAAATTATATCATGTGATATTCAAAATGTCATACTTTTTCCAAACAGGTAAGGAATATTCAAAGTTCTGGGGAAAGAAAAAGTTTGCTGTATCAAACCAGCTTTTATTACAGTTTGTGTCCATTCCTACATGCTTAAAACATGGAATATATAGTACCGGTACATGAATTTGTATGAATATTTATGTGAATGACTATTACAAGATGTAACAAAAAGTGTGAATTTTTATGAGAAAAATAATGATTCTATGCAAGATCACTAATAAAATATATACTTATTTTCAATTAAGTTTTGAATGGCATATTGTAATGGAATGCACATAGATTAAATTGTCATTGATTTTTTTCCCTCAAAATATGAATCACTAAAATGAACATCCCTATGGGTAACATCTAGCATCCCTTTAAAGAAAATACACCTAGCAACGATAACAAAAAAGTGGACACTCTTTATTGTACAAAATTTTCATAAAAGCTGTTAATAAATATTCCAAAATATATATGAAATTTAAGAAAATTAATGATACCCAGAAGCCTCTCCTTTTGTGCTTCTCATGACTATTTTTTGTCTTCATTTTTGCAGTTTGACTCTGCAAGAGGAAATTCTCATCAACATTTGAATAGCCAGATGTCAAACGTTTGCAATTGTATTGTAGAGACTCATTTATTGTTAACGGCTATGATTACTCATGCGTGAATGGTATGATTCGAATTGCATATCGCCATAAAGAGGACTAATTCAAATTTATTTTGAGATATGAAAGATAAGATTGGATTAAACATTTATTTGAGAATCTTAACTATAAATGGTGTCCACTTTCTTTTAGTGGGTCTATATAATAAGGGCTAAGTGAATACTTACTCTGAACGATTGGGATGTGTTGAAGAATGAGAAAAGTATGAAGGTACAAATAAGGTGGGCATGAGCTCAATAGCAATATTCACATGATGGTGATCGACCTGTACAAACAAAGCATGGGAATAATTCAAAGTGTGGACACAAACATATTTTGCACTGCACTGTGACTGTTTAACTAGCACTATGTTGATATGAGCCCGTGTTCTCATAAAAGTTATACTTTATGCCTGGTTAAAGACTGTCAATACTACTGAGCTAGAAGGGATTAGACCACACAGCGAGGTCACTGACAGGTGGCTATCTCATTAACTCAGATCTCAACTAACATAAGAAAAAGAGGATCATGGGGGACCAACAGGCACCGATTGGGGAAGTTTTCTATATAGAGGGAGCAGGTAGCTACAAGTAGGACAGTGGGGCTTTAAAACTAGGTCAACTTTGCCGAGTCAGATTGAGCAACTTTGACGAGTTCTAGTTGTTGCTTAGTTTGAACTTGGCTTAAAGGCAGAGTATTTGACTGACATCGATACCACTGCTGTAATGTATTTGCATTTTTCAATTGCGCCTTCTTTTGGTGAAGCAAACACAGAGCGATTCACGAATGTGTCATCAGTTGGTGATGCATTGTGGGACATTGCTGTTGACACATCGGGACATTGTGAGCAGCAGATGGCGGTATACATGTATGTAAATGTGGAGTGGTGTCAGTCGAATACCCTGCCTTTAAACTGATATCAAACTAATCGTCTGATTTAAACTTGTTCGGTAGAAAAAAAAGGCCAGGGCAGCTTCTCACAAAACCGTCATAAGTACCAGGTATAAGTCTAACGACATCCCATTGGAATGCGTGTACTGTATTAAGTTTAAAACACATTTCAATGGGATGTCAGTGAACTTGTACTTATGACGGTTTCGTGAGACGCTACCCAGAATGCTTAATTTATAATTGAAAAGGGGTAGCATTGTGTATGCTGACATAAGAATTTAAGAACAAGCCTAGGTATATTAATCTGTGCTTAAACTCAGGAAATTTTAGATCCCAGAGCATACATTAAAAAACAATACAATACAAAAACAAACAAACAAACAAAACACAATAGCAAAAAACAAGATGATGAGCTAATTTACACATACTTTATATGTGAAGTGTTTTGAAAAGATTTTAAAATGAATTACAAATTGAATGTAAAACACAATTAATACTGCATTTCGACATGAATGTCCAACAATTATTGTATATGACATGATTATAACATAAACTGTAATGCACAAAAACTAGAACAGACAGAGTGAATAAGATATTTTCTTACTTGGGGATTTAAAAATCATTTGTCTCAACATTTCATACTTAATTTGTAGAAGTTTTGATACATTCATGTACATATGCATGTGTCAATGCTACCCCCACAAAATGTTGGCGATAGTGAGAACTCCCATTCAGTGACATTTACTTGAACAGTTTCAAGGGGCTGCTAGCTGTGTTAATGAATGAGGCTGTACCTTGGTTAAAAGTGAAGAATCCAGGCCCATCTATAGTGCCCCCAGCAAAGCTGTACCCCATGGCTGGTGAACATGTTTTCACCTACACACAGAGAATGAACAAACAAAGACAAGCAACAGGCATGAAATGTGGAGAAACATGTAAAGCTCTGTTCACACATGATGCCATAAACTGCCTAAAAAGCACATAAAACAGCCCCCCCCCCAAAAAAAAAAAAAAAAAAAAAAAAAAAAAAATTACAAGCAAATGTAATGTACATGTTTCAAGAACATTGGTATACCTTGGGTGAAAGTAAAAAATCCAGCTCCATCGATGCATCCAGCAGCAAAGCTATAGCCAAGGGCTGGCGAACAAGTCTTTACCTATATATAATTTTATTATAAATATTTCTTTATTGCAACCAAAACTTGGGGTTGGGTCTCAAATAGAAATAAGAATACAAACATATAGATAACAATGGTAGGAATAATGTACACAGCCAAAAGAAACTATCAAGTCTGATGCATAAATTACAGTGTCGTATGTATTTGAGCGCATAGAGATTTTCAAAAAGTAGAAAGAACTAAACCGTGGAAACAGGCTGGATCTTACCTTTGAGTTGCCGCCATTAGAACATCAAAATCTAGTATATTGTGCCATACACATTATGTGTGTTTATCTACTGTATAGATAGGGTTATACATCATAACAGGACAGCAAAGAGTGAAAAGTGGAAACAACTAAAGACTACCCACAACATTCAGAGGAGAATATCGAAGACTACTTTGCTGCATCATACGCACCACGGTGTGTGTCTACTGTATCGATGGGGTTGTACACCACATCAGGACAGCAAAGATTGAACAGAGGAACAACTAAGGAATACCCACAACTTTCACGGACATAAACTACTACTACTTCTACTACTACAAGTCCGCTGAAGCAAATAGACAGTGGTCGTCTGACAGGTGTTGTGTACTGTTAAAACTTTTTTTCTAAGGTAACTTCATGGTTTGATACATTGGCACAGTGATGAAGAGTCACTAGAAGGTTCAAAGTACATTGCATCATACAAACAGCACTGTACAGAGGTTGTGCACCGCATAAGACATGACGGAACGCAAAGACAATGGTAGCGCGAGCGAAAAATTTAATCTGCACATGCGCGAACCAGAATTGTCCCCAGTCTTGCTGATTTTCATGAAAGCGCTGTAGTAAGAAAAGTTAATGGGAAGTGGGTTTGGTCTTACCGTCGAGTTTTCATCTAAAACCACGTCATAGTTTGACATGTCAACAAACTGATGAATAGAAGCTATCGTAGAGTTCATCATATCAGTAGCTGCATCGTACAATTCCTGTTCAGACAAAAACAAAGATGGTCAACCCTGATTACATCTACATTTAACACTCAATACCCAGAGAGAAATGCGGACCTGGGCCCCGTTGCATAAAACTTACCATTGATGGTAACCTTGCCGTCAATGGCAACTACCATGGGGCTCAACAGCCAATCAAATTCATGGTTTCCATGGTAGTTACCATTGATGGCAAAGTTACCATCATTGGTAAATTTTATGCAACGGGGCCCTGGTAAGATGACGAAAGCATTTGTGTTAGTAATTGTCTATGCCCTCATGGTGACCATATGGTAGGAATACTTCCCAGGGAGTGGAGATGGTGCACATTGTGCGTGAATGAATCCGATGACCGGGTAATAATATTTGTAAAACGCTTAGAAACGATATACCATATTAAGTGCTACATAAATCCGAATTATTATATTATTATTACAAATAAGCAAGAAACCCATGATTATGATGTATGATTTAAAAAAATGACAGAGAGTCACAACAAGACAAATGAGAGCAAGTGAATTTTTCCTTGCAAGGCCTACATCCTATTCCATCATGGTTGTGAATGAAGTTAAATCATTTATCAGTTCAGTCTACTGTTAGAACATAGAGGTCCCAAGGTATGGCATACGAGCTCCCGCTGCAGGACTAGCGTCCTTTAGCACGACATTAATCTAGATTTGCCGCACTAGACCAAGGTGAGGTAAATGGGTAAGGAGAGGAAGAAATTCTTTCAAGGCCTCATCAGCCTTAGAAGGACAGTAAAAGAAAAAACCTGCAACAAATATAGGGGGAGAGGGTGACTAACAGATCACTTGGCCTAACTTTGGTATTCCACTGCAATGTTTAATAAGAACCCCATGTTATGAAGCCCAGGACTGATGGCCTTTTCAATGAAAGAAATTACAGAAATACCATTAGAAGAGTAGAAATCATAATAAATATTCATCCATTCTTGCATAGCAAATTTTACATTGTGAGATATTGTCCAATTGCACTTCCAAATAGCTTTGGAACTATTACTCCGTCTTTATGCTTTGGGAACTATTATCGGTGAGCGCTGCATTTAAGCAATTTATCCTACCAAGTTTATCTGGGTTACAAGTGGCCAATAAAGATAAATAAATGTTGCCAACAGACATTAGTCCTGAGGCAGTTCTCCCACCAATGAACTTTGCAATAAGCCAGTTCATAGTTGCAGTCTGAGCATGAGCAGATAAAGGTTATTGCAGACCAAATTGTGAAATACACAGAGACAAAATACTGGATACTTGCTCATGAAAGTCATGTAATCATTATTCATTTATGCACAAGCAGTGCACTCCATGATACACAGGTGGAAGTATTCCTTGAAAAGGGGAAACATAGGCTATTTATGTAGCACCTCCATCGCTGTAGGAGTGATAATTTCAAAATGTACAAAGTGGGACCTCTTCATGTTTTGAAGATCTGTGGATATTCGTGGTCATTTGGGACATGTGCTAACCGTGAACTGGTCTATTGCAAGATAAGAGTTTAATCCACTCTGCTATGCCACCTCACAAAGAAGTACACGGTTAAAATAATATGAATACCTTGGCCTTGTCATATTGATTCTGTCCAATGATCTGAGTGCTCTCAAACATGTCTTTCCCTGGTCCACTTGCCATGCACAGCTGGGCCTGCAATATATAACAGTAGTAGCAATAAAATAATGAATAAGAATGAATCAACAAAAAAGTGTGATAACAGTTTAGGAATAATAATAATAATAATAATAATAATAGCCTAATAGTCCACTCCAAATTTTATTAAACCGAAACGGAAATTCTTTGTGCCCAATTGATCGTGAGCCCGGCAGCCACTGAGCAGCCCCAGATCGACGTTGCTCTATCCCTTATTGTTGAACGCCAAACAAGGTAGCAACAACTCCCATCTTTTAACGTCTTTTGGTATGATGCAGCCGGGGTTCGAACCCACGACCTCCCGGTTGTGAGGCGGACACTCTACTGACTGAGCCAACACTCTGGTGATAATCAAAATAGCAAAAATAGAGAAATATTCTCAGAGAAGGAGAAAAAAAATAAGCTAAAGAGGTAGAGAACACAAGAGAGTGGGACACAGAAGAGAGAGAGAAAGCAAAGAGAGAGGGAAAGAGAGAGAGAGAGAGAGAGGGGGGGGGGGAGAAGAATGGAGGGACAACAGGGAGACAGACCTGGAAAGATTGGGTGAAGTGGAGGAAAAGAGAGTGAGCATGCATAAAAGAAAGAACACATTGAACAAGATGGAAAAGAAGAGAGAGAGAGAGAGGAGGGAGAGAAGGGTGGCAAGACATGGAGCAATAGTGAAAACAGAGAAAGAGACAGACATTAAGTGACAGGAAAATAAAAAAAGGGGACAGAGACATTTTGAGGAGATAGACAGAGAGGAAAGAGATACAAGAAACACAGGGGAAAAGTTAAAGAAGCATTTTGGGAGGAGTAAGGCACTTATGTTCCTATCAAAAGGGGTGTGGCACTTACCCTCCCATTACAGGTGCTTGTTTCCATCTCACAGGGCTCTCCCGTATCAACACACTTGGGTCCGTCCAGATTAGGAGAAACATCTCCCTGGTTGCTATTTGGAAACGCAGCCACAAAGCCTGGTCCGAACTCCTTCTCGGCGAGGTACGAAGCATAGCCCTTATTGTCACTGCTGATGAGATGATTGGAGTTGTTCATACTGACCGGATGAACTGCAAACCAACTAGAAGGGGGAATGAAATATAAGAATAGATAGTATTAATGTGAACAGGTCTCTTCTTGGTTCGGTACGAAGCATAGCCCTTATTGTCACTGCTGATGAGATGATTGGAGTTGTTCATACGGACCGGATGAACTGCAAACCAACTAGCAGGGGGAATGAAATATAAGAATACATATAATATTAATGTGAACAGGTCTCTTCTTGGTTCGGTACGAAGCATAGCCCTTATTGTCACTGCTGATGAGATGATAGGAGTTGTTCATACTGACTGGATAAACTGCAAACCAACTAGAAAGGGGAATGAAATATAAGAATAGATGGTATTAATGTGAACAGATCTCTTCTTGGTTCGGTACGAAGCATAGCCCTTGCTGATGAGATGATTGGAGCTGTTCATACTGACTGGATGATCTGCAAACCAACTAAAAGGGGGAATGAAATATAAGAATAGATAGTATTAATGTGGACAGATCTCTTCTTGGTTAGGTACGAAGCATAGCCCTTGCTGATGAGATGATTGGTGCTGTTCATACTGACTGGATGAACTGCAAACCAACTAGAAGGGGAATGTAATATAAGAATAGATAGTATTAATGTGAACAGATCTCTTCTTGGTTAGGTACGAAGCATAGCCCTTGCTGGTGAGATGATTGGAGCTGTTCATACTGACTGGATGAACTGCAAACCAACTAGAAGGGGAATGTAATATAAGAATAGATAGTATTAATGTGAACAGATCTCTTCTTGGTTAGGTACGAAGCATAGCCCTTGCTGATGAGATGATTGGAGTTGTTCATACTGACTGGATGAACTGCAAACCAACTAGAAGGGGAATGTAATATGAGAATAGATAGTATTAATGTGAACAGATCTCTTCTTGGTTAGGTACGAAGCATAGCCCTTGCTGATGAGATGATTGGAGCTGTTCATACTGACTGGATGAACTGCAAACCAACTAGAAGGGGAATGTAATATAAGAATAGATAGTATTAATGTGAACAGATCTCTTCTTGGTTAGGTACGAAGCATAGCCCTTGCTGATGAGATGGTTGGAGTTGTTCATACTGACTGGATAAACTGCAAACCAACTAGAAGGGGAATGAAATATAAGAATAGATAGTATTAATGTGAACAGATCTCTTCTTGGTTCGGTACGAAGCATAGCCCTTGCTGATGAGATGATTGGAGCTGTTCATACTGACTGGATGAACTGTAAACCAACTAGAAGGGGAATGTAATATAAGAATAGATAGTATTAATGTGAACAGATCTCTCTCGGCTAGGTAGAATACTGAACATGTATTGTCACTGCAAGGTAGTAAAATAAACAAGGAAAAGGAAAAAAAGGAGAGGATGGAGAGAGAGAGAGACAGAGAGACAGAGAGAGAGAGCAAGACAGAAGGATTGAGTAAACAACAGAAAGAAATTGAAGAAAAAGCAAAAACAAAAACAATACAAAGAAATTCGAAATATTAGAAAGAAACATACTGTACGCGCATGTAAAAGAGATGGAAGACAAAAAGGAAAGATGGAAGAGTATTAGAGGAGAAAAGACAGAAAGAGAGAGAACACTATGTAGAGTCATTGAGAGGAGAAAAGAGAGGCAAAACAAGAGATCAGACTGTCTAGCATTGTCAGTTTCAGAAGAAGCAATAATATCAATCAATAATTTTGTCAACAAAATGTCTGACACCCCAAAGCAAAGCATGGAGGCAGACAGCCCCCAAAATTATGCCTTTGGTTTTCTGGATGTAACATTGTCATTACTGCAAACAGATGCGAGTATGTTACCTTAATGCAAGAACGGCATTACAGCCATTGGTGCAGGCAGCCTTAAAGCCCCACTGCACTACTTATAGCTACTTGCGCCCTCTATACAGCCAACAACAATACCTAAGCGGTACCCGTTGATCCCGTTGATTGAGAGCTGATTTGATGAGATAACTACCTGCCAATGACCTTGCAGGGAGGTCTAATCCCTCCATGCCAAGCTAGTGCAGAGGTGCTTTAAAAGCACAAAATTGCTTTCTTGCGCTGAGCTGATAGATTCGGCTCTAAGAAAACTCACCTTATCAGTCCCAAATTATTGTCATTTTCATCTACAAACTTGGCTACGGTCATCCTGGTATCTGTGTCGCCCATATATCTGTAAAAAAAAATGAGGACACAGGTATGTTTGTAACCACTACACAAAAACTCAATAAAACATCTGTGAATCCTGCTTTAGTGACCACCTGTATAGAAAGATCACTTGTCTAGATACAGCCTGCATTTCTTGTTTCCCTCAAAAAGTAAAATAGCATTTCTCATTTGAAGCTGTACCTAAGAAAACATGTACGTAAAGAGCATTGCTTATACAGTGAAACCTGTCTACAAAGACCACCCAAGGGAGACAAGAAAAGTGGCCTTTATAGGCAGGTGATCTTTAAGCACTGGTTCCTTTAGTACATTATTCAATGAGAAATCGTTTTAAAGGGTAACAAATAATGTGGTCTTTGTAGACAGGTGGTCTTTCTATACAGGTGATCACTAAAGCAGGTTTGACTGTGTTATACAAACTGTTTTATCTCCTCTGTGTGGTCTTTATATACAGGCGCCATTGTGTTTCAATCATAACACAGTTCAAGTCACTTGCAGGATAAGAAAGTGTCACCAATAAGCTTCTTAAACATTAATGTAAAATTATAGGCTACCACAGAAAAACATAAAATACTTATTGCAGTCAATTTCTTTATGTTTATGTCTTGCACTATTCATTGACAGTTGTACAAAAAAGTGTGATGTCGTGTTTATTGACATCCATTACATTTCACGCGCCAAATCTAGTCATATCATCTCACTACACTGACGCATGCTGATATCAAGATAATAAGAAGAATAATAGCGAGTTCTTGTAAAGCGCTCATGTCTGTCGGACTTGACACGTCAGGCGCTCCTCAATTATTACCCCGGCTTTAGCATGGCTGCCATTATGGTGCTCTAGAATTTCAAGGAACTAATTCCTGCCAGGTACCCATTTACCTCACCAGGGTGGAGTGTGGCAAATGTAGATTAATGTCTTGCCAAAGGATGTTAGTGTTGTGGCGGGGATCCGATCCCCATACCTTGTGGTAATGTGGTAATGTAGGACTATAGTTACTTACTTGCTTTTCTCATCTTCAGGGTTATTCAGATAGGCGGTAGGGCTTCTATTCATATTACTGTCAAGCAAATCACCTCTGTTGACATACACATTGCCAGCTACCGGGTTGTCATGAGCATTAGCAATACTCTAAAATAAAAATAAAATATAACAGGGAAAAGGCAATGATTGATTGATTGGTTCACTTGGTTGTTGAGGCTTAAAGCATCAGCTTATGAGCCCATCTTGACAATCACAGCACTATTTACGTTGATAAGGGGTATATTTGAGAGGATGGTGATGCCAATACTTTTCAAGTTCAGATTTAAAGCTGTTAATAGATGGCGCTTGGATTGTTGATTGGGGTAGCCCGTTCCAGCTGTTAATAGATCGAAAAGCAAGGGACGTCTGCCTAACACTTGTCTTACAATGTGGCGTCTCAATTTTGAAGTTGACAAAAAATCTTCCAGACTGCTAAAGACACATATATACTTCCCGAGGCAATCTGACCCTTTGTAATAAGTTGAGTTTCATGAGCAGAAGAGCCAAAAGGAACAGGTGACTGAAAAGTTTTGATATTACCATTATGAATGTTTGGAAACTGAGATCACTGAATGTATGTGAATCTTAAACTGAATGTTTGATCATTCGACTGTGCTGTCATTGGGGCCAACTCTCTCATTTATCTCCAATCTAATTCTCAAAGCAACTTTAAGAAAAAAACCAAAACATGAATAAGGCTTATTCTAATGTAACAATGTTTTAAGCTCTTTTTTAAACTTCTGAATATCACCTAACATTCTAATTTTAGTTTGGTTCTGAAAATTGTTTTCTTCAATTTTCTTTCTCTTAATCTTTGGATGGTTGTTTAAATAGAACAATGTGTGAATTTGAAGCATTATTGCTTTGAAAGGTGACTTCAACAAACATGTATTAAAGGTACTATGTCCCATTTGCAGCCAGAATCAAGTTCTGTAGAACTATGCAGGAATTATGAATATGTTATGTATGTCCTATCTGTGAAATTTAAATGGTAGCAGTGTCCTAATATTCAAATTATGCAAGGAAACCTGTTTACTTTATTGACTTCACTGTCAGACACTATTGAGTGACTGACTGACTTCTTTCTTTTCTTTGGTAATAACATACCTAAAATGAGCTGTAAAGGATACCTGAGCATTTGTCTACATCAATAACCCACTTCTTGTAGTGGCCAAAATTAAACTGATTGAATCTTTGCGCAGCATAAAACATATGACCATTCGGTACAATTGTCTAAAAATCAAGACTATTTACTAAAAAGATTGCAATCACTAAAGTCGAATTGACACCTAGCAGACGCTATTTACCCACAAAAGGACATTTTCAAGCCCTCTCGTTTTGAGGGAACTTCAATTAGTATTATCTTTCAAATGTCGGTGGAATTTAACCGTTTCATTTTTTGGGGCCTTCAAATGGGACATACTGTAGTACCTTTAAAGTGACTTGGTAACATTGTTGAAGGTTGATGAAAAAATTGCTTAATTGAAAAAATTCTCAAACCACAAAGATATCTATGATTTTCTTTGAAGGAGTCAATGTATGACACCCTTTAACAGTGATTAACAGTAAATTCTCCCAACCATTTTTTAATTTTCCCTACCGTTTTTCCATGAAAAAAAGACATAAAACAGGCTATAAAAATCTGTCAACACTTAAATGTGTGGAATCGAATGTAGAGCCATTTTATTGCTTTGTGACAATTTCCATTCACCTAAAATGTAATTAATTGTAATAATATAGTTGGGAGAATTAAGGAATCGATCGGATCAGTTTTTCCCAATTTGTACCATGAATAATGGTCCGATTTCACTCAAATTTTCAGATTATCTTTAATTGTACATCTAGCATTGAAGTCACTACCTTAGCACCACTATCTCTCATCTGAACAATGTTACCAAGTCCCTTTCAGGTAACTTTGAATTCTGAACGTTTTGTCTCACCTGAACGATTCCAGTAACGATAGCATCGTGGCTGTCATTGACGAAGCCGAGCGAGGTGAAGGTGAAGGTCAGATACTGTAGGTAGCCTCCAGGACCAGAGTGGGTGTGTGTCCCACTCAGTACAACGTTCTGCTCGTTGTAACGCTCACCATACAGCCCCCTCAGTTGCTCAAATACCTATAGGTAACATTTGAAGGAAAAACCAATTCCCGTCAAGGTGATGAAATTTAATTGGTCTACATGTTATGTTTTTCTTGCGTGTATTATTTAAGGCTAAAGCATTACTTAAAGGAAAACTAACCCCAAAGAATAACTTTAGTTGTTCTGAGAGATTTATTGCATTCTTGCCCATCAATCTCCAAGATTCCCCACCAAAGTGTATGGAAAAGGCCTAAAGCAAGAATGCCAAGAAATCTCCATTTATGTATCTCTTGTAAACGTTGGTAGGATTTATAGTACATCAAAAGGCAGGAATTCATCTTGTTTTTGAGAACACCTACAATTATTCTTTGGGGTAAGTTCTCCTTTAAGGAACTGTAAAATTCACCAAATAGTGCCTTCAGTTGCTCAAATCACAAAGTATTTGTGATCGATATTAATCCCAGCTACCGTAATTAACGGTGTATAAAATGCACCTTTTTGCCGCCGAAAAAATTCAAAGTCGGGGGTGAGGTTTATACACGGTACACCCCAAAAAAAAAAAAAAAAAAAAAAATTTAAAATTTTTTTAAAAAATAAAGTTTCAATTTATGGCGCTATGCCTGGTAATGTCTCCCAGCTCAGTAATTGGTGTGTTGACTCACCACTCGGAAACTAAAACACCACTCAAATTTGTCTGTCATCTTGGTTTGAAATTAATCTTTCTGATAGATCTCAATATGTAGTTTATAATAATAATTCCTCCAATTTTTCTTCTATTACAAGGTCCTATCCTAGGTCCTCTACTGTTTTTTTAATTTACATTAATGATCTTACACATTCAGCTGCACCTCCGGTTAAATGAAAGACCTTCCCGCGTGGGTTTTTTAACACGGACCCGGCAAAAAAAGTCGGCAAAAAAAAAAATATTATACACCGCAAATTACGGTGTGTACATGTACATGTGTACATAGAAAATAGGGGAATGCAAACTTGTGATTGATGAGAGAACTTGTGATTGATTTGGATCAATCGCAACTCCTTATAAGACAGGACCCTGACATAAAAAGGTTTCAAAATAAGAAGCACTCGAAAATCAGAAATGGCCAGATACATGAAACTTTTACCAATTCGGGGAGTGGTTCACATTTGTTGTAGCCTCATGCCACGAAATACTTGAATCACATCTGATACAACACTGAATTTTGACAACAGGCCATTTAAAAAATTGAATCAAATTCAATGCATATGTGTTTGATAAGTGCCTCGTTAGGAAATATTTCACTCACCCATCCATAGGCAGAATGCAAAGTGCGTATGTCACATGTTGCTAGGTGAGGCAAGCATGATACTTGCCCAAATTAGCAACAAATAGGCAACAAAATGTAAGCAATTTGCATACTGACTATAGAAATACAATCATTAATAACAGGTCAATGTAATAACTTGTTGCTAGGTTAATGTGTATCAATATGAATATGTTTTGAAACTGGTCTATTCACAATAGTTTCTTGCCATGAAAATTGCTGCTGTTGACAAATCATGAAAGTTTCTGGATATAAACTTTATCTGTATCATGGTTTATACAGAGCGAAGCATAACTTACATCGAGATTGATAGCGGTACAGCCCATAGCAATGTCTGCGCTGACAAACACATTGCAGTTGTCTTGGTCGTTGATCTCGCAGGTTATAAAGGCTCTGCTGTAGAGACGAGTGTGGATCCCGGCTGTTCTCTGGTCGGGGTGGGCGTAACCCATCTGAAGAAAAAGATGGAAAGTACAGAATTACAATAATAATAGCTCACATTTATAATGCGCCTAATCCTTTTTTTCTAGGTGCAGTACATATTATTACCCCGGCCATCGGATTCAGGCTTACCTGCACACAATGTATGCACATTCTCCACTCCCTGGGGAGTATTCCAGCCAGTCGCCATTTTACAAGCGCACACTTGCTCATCCAACCACATTTATTTTTGCATCCTACCGGGTACCCATTTAACACCTGGGTGGAGAGTGGCAAATGTAGATTAACGTCCTGCCAAAGGACATTAGTGCCGTGTTGGGGATCGAGCCACGACCTTTGAATTTCAAGTCAAGTGCTTAAACCGCTCGACTATGACACTTCTACGATGACAAGAAATGCATTACAATAAAATCTGACAGCAATTGTACCATTTTACCATTTCCATAATCAATTCCTCAGCTTTAGACTGATATTAACAGGTTTAAATACTCACAACATGCACTCACGTATACCAAAAGATAAAGTTATGAAGGAAAAGGTCATTCTAAGAAATTAAGGGTAGTCCAAGGAAAGATAGATTAAGAGTATGCAAAAAGAAAGTATTTTTAGTGTGAAAACATGACATAACTGTAAATACTTCTTAATGAATGTAGTAGGATTTTAGCATAACTGTTTTTGCAGTGTAGAATAGGTATGGTTGGTGCTGAAAATGTCAGAACCACAACATTCATCAGATGCCACTTTAACTAATTCAATTTTTTTTTCAAGTGAATAGAGAACATGAAATTTATCATAGGCCATGCGTCTTTGCTTTATGATCTTCTTCAATGCCCCTCCTTGTTAACAAAAACACTAACTTCTCTGTAGATTACCAGGTAAGTGATTCAGATGCCTGTAATATGTTATGTCGTATACAAAATACTCTTTTAATCAATCCCTTCTTACTTTTGAGGTTTTATTTTTAGATTTGTAGAAAGCTAATTTTGGGAAAGACATTTAATTACATCAGAATGAATGTGAACCACTATGTCAGTTTACATTACACATCATCAGATATCTTACATCCGCAGTTTATATATGAATATTTATAAATAGTTTAAATATCTGTCTAATGCTGCTTTTTAACTGGCTTCTATCGGAGTCACACCGATGAAAATACCGATTAAATTTTCCTTAAATGTAAACAAAGGTGAAACCGCAGGTTTCCCCCTGTCGCTTTCTAACTGCCGGTGAAATTCACTCGCTGTGGCGAGCCCTTGCCGAAAGTGAAGAATTATTGCGTAATTATTAAGCCCGTGCTCCATCTAGCCAGCATGCAGCATGTTCAACCATAAGTCGACAAACACAGCTGGTTACGATAAAGCGCGCGTATACTACAACCTTTGACCTTTTTAATCGCTGTTTTAATCGCCCTTTTCTCCCGAACGCTTTCTAACTGGCCATTTCATCGATGTCACACCAATAGAATGAGAATTTAATCGCCTAATTCTCTTCTTTTCATCGGCTATTTAATCGCCTTTTTCTCCTCTGTTGCTTTCTAACTGGCTGTTTCATCGGATGCGTCCGGATGCATCCGATGAAAATCAGTGCAGCTAGAAAAGGGTATAAGTCTCATATGAATCATGAGAAATTGGGAGGAAGAAGAAACACCAAAACAACAAAAACTTTTTTTTTTCAAACCAAAAAAATTCTACATGTATATTTTCCACCTCTAATTATCTTAAGCTACTTATTGGCACTCATGTTGTTTTATTGGAATCATCTGAGTCAATGTAAATACAAGAATGAAGGGCGGAGTGACTTAATTACTGTTTGGGTACAAAGGTCGCTTGCCACTTCAACTACCGTTTTAATAGTTTACCTCAAAGAGAAGATCTCAAGTTCTGGTAACGATAAAAACATTCAAATAATATGTTAGCTTTCTCCTTCTGTGTACATGTACTGATATGTCATTCTGACATGGTAGAAAATTAGAAATATTGAAAGAAAAGGATTGCTCTTGAAGTGCCCTCGTATTTGAAATATGACGAGAATTAGCTAAAATGTTTGGGAAAAACTTCCATGCCACATGTGTTGTGTAGTCCCACATATACTATTTTTATATGCAGTGTGAGTGATTCTTATCAAGATCGAGTCAAGTTCTTTCATTTTGATCATTCCAAAGTTGTGCAGTATACATCAATCCTTATGTACAAAATCAATCTTTTCTTAATGCTTCAAGACAGTTTCTTTCAAGATATAATGGCATCAGCAGTACTCAACTTAATCTTTAAATTAGTACTTGTAGTGCTCAAGATGTTATCTGATAACACAGACTTGATGGGTTCAGAGTATCAATGGTTATCAAATTAAGATGCCGTCACTAGTTCACTATCTTTATTGTAATTGTAATGGTATGGATCCCGTACACATGTAAATGAAGTCAAACTTTCAGAGCATGGACCGACCCTAGGTCCATGCTCTGAAAGTTTGACTTCATTTACATGTGTACTAGGGGCAATGCTTAGATTATTTAGTTTAGTTGGTTCAGTTTGATACTTGTAAGCTTTAAAGTGACTCAGAAACATTGCCTCAGATTCTGAAACAAAATCATAATTATAAACCTTTAGGTCAGTCAGGAATCCCATGACTTTTACAAGCTGATCGCCTGTCTGATTATCAAGATATTTATGATTGGAAATTGAAATTTCATTTTTCGTTTTCTAACAGTTCTTATAACACTACAGTCTATGAGGAAAATGAGTATGGTAAAACCGGTCACTCAAAGATTTTAACCTTTTTTTAAGGCACTTCATGATCATTTTGAAGCGCGATTTTTATTAGGGCTTCAATATTACACCATATCACAAACACTGATAACACGTAGGGCCATGCATCTCAGATTTAACATTGTTAAACGATCGAAGGGTAATCAGTTCCACCATCATTCACATGACACAAGGGTTTTACATAGTATACATGGACCCTGTGTCATAAAACTTATTATTATTTAACAAGTTACAATAACTGTTAATGGAATTACTGGAATCAAGGCATTTGATTGGCTGAGAGCAAATTTGCCATAGAAATTTAGCATTTGTTATTGATAACAAGTTGTATCTTTGTCTCCTTCAAGTGTGACTTATCAAATTAATTCTGCAATGTGGATGGTTAGACTAAAACCAGGATATGGATCTGTGCATAAATTTCTATCTTCCTACATGTAAACACTATTCTACTCTATCTACATGTAAATTAATGTTGTTAACTTCAAGTCCATACATGTACATTTCTGATAAGGGATCAAATACAGTACTTAAAATTGGCAAAATAATTAGAAATAAGATTAAAACTTTTAAAATTAGAATCTAGTGAGTCATCTGTCCAAATGTATAACTTCCATTTGGTGCATTAAATGTACCTGTGACAGTCACTATAAATTAATCATTAATTCTACTTGACTGCATTTTGTTTATTCTTATCTTCACAGTCAATTGCATAAAAAGGAACGTTTTACAGTCATAGATTATATTTGCTTTTCTGTCATGTTTGGTTGCTGTTGTGCTTGATTTCACACAAATTCCCTCAATGAAGCAAATGGAAAGTAAATATGACATGCATTTTCTGAATGTCCACTTTCTTTTAATTTTTTTTTTAATAATAAAAAAATGAATAGAATTTATGAACTTCTGCAATTTTATTATGTATCAAACTACAAATAAATCAATTCTTTTGAACTAAATCCTACTATAAAAAAATTGAGGAAGCAAAATTAAATATCATTTAAAATACAGTTCATGGTCAAACAGTGATGGAAAAAGTGAAGTGAGGGCTGATAAACGCTTTTCTCCCATGGCCTATCATGGCTGAAAACTTGTTAATGTGTAGACTTCCTTTTGCCGATTAATTTGATGTATCCTTTCACCTTCTTGGTGTCTAAAATCTTCTAACCATTGACATTAGTATACACTTTTTCACAGGTTTCAAGGCAAACCGCTGCACAATACGAGTGCATACCGATGGTGGCTTGCACGTTGCGGGCGGGCGCGCGACTGTGTGAAGTTATCTACCGTAATGAGGATCTGAGATATTACGGTAGATAACTTCACACGGGCGCGCGCCAGCCCGCAACCCACCATCGGTAGTATTGTGCAGCAGTTTGCTGTGAAACCTGTGAAAAATTGTATACTAATATCAACGTTTATCAAAAAAATGCTCCAAAAATAACAAGAAAATTGACACGAAACAGGTAATAAACATAACAAATTTGAACTCCTGATCTTTATTTGGACACTTAATGAATATTTACTTCATTTGGGGTATGTTTTAGTAGATCTAGGATATCTCCATGCCGGAGTTACGGCTCAAATTTTGGATAGGTTTCTGAACAAGCGCAAATTTGTTTACCAAATTAATTCAATTCTTTCATGAAATATTAGATATCTTGGCAGTGAATATATCCACATCGCCGTGCTGAAGTCTGAAGCACGACCGATGTTTAGTTTGCAGCGCAGCTACTGTACAGCATGCAGCAGCAGCAGCAGTCGACAGTTCGTGAAAAAGAGAAAGGACCAGCGCAGCCAGGTCTACTCACCCCAGGAGTTCGGGGGCAACAACCTGCCACCGAACCGACGGGGACAAGTTGAATGTTCTTCGTTCAAAATATAATGCATCTTACCATATTTACACCAGCTGCAGGACCAGTTATATCAGCTTTCCCTAAGCCAATCATAAACTGAGGATCTGCTGCAGAAGCAGAACAGACCAAGACAGTAATTAATGCAAAAAATACTTCCATCTTCAACTTCGAAATTGTCTCCAGCTCCAGAAATATCAAAACATAATGTTTTATGGAAAGCTAACCTAAACGCTTCAAATGTATGGAACGCCAACTAGGTTGGCTTCAAAGAGATGTCCCTCGCATTAAAATGAAAAGATAAATAAACAAATCAAAAGATGAAGGCTTGACTTTAGGGGGCACGTGCCCCCCCCCCCCCCCCGTGGCTACGTGCCTGGAGGGGTGGGGGAGGGGTACACAAGTTTTTGAATGACGCAGCTTATCTGAAGACATTACGATAGCTAGATAACTTCACAATTTAGTTCCCTTTTCAGGAACTGTACCGCATAGAGCTGTATATAACAACTCTATGCTTTACCCTCATCTAGATGCTGAACAGGCGTTGATGAGTATCACCATAGAAGTAGATGTAGAAAATGATAAAGACATAGCTCTCAGGGCTATAACGTCTCTTTTCTGACTATCATTGATTTTGATAGTATCAACTAAGTGTTTTTTTTTAAAGTTTCTTAGTTGTTGTTCTTGTTCTTTCCTTTTATTTTTTGTTGCTCGTTTTCTTATGGTGGCCCTGAAGGGACCTCGCGAATAGACTAAATCGTGAAAAATATGCGATAAAATTCACGATATCGTCAATTTTATCGCATATTTTTCACGAAGAAATTCACGAAATTGACGATATCGTGAACTTTATCGTGAACTTTTCACGATGAAATTGACGATATCGTGAACTTTATCGTGAACTTTTCACGATGAAATTGACGATATCGTGAATTTTATTGTGAAAAGTTCACGATATAAAGTTCACGATATCGTCAATTTTATCGTGTACTCTATCGTGTACTCTATCGTGTACTCTCCTGACGGGCGCTTCGTAAACAAAACCAGCCCTAGCTGGGGGAGACAGAGAGAAGGAAAAAAGGGAAAGGGAAAGAGAAGATAAAAGGAAAGAAAGAATAATAAGAAGAAAAGAGGGAAACGGGGGGGGGGGGGCGAATGGGTTTTGCCTCCTCCTCACTCCCCCCCCCCCCCTCCCCGCCAAAAAATAAATCAGAGAGAGAGAGAGAAGGGAAAGGGAAAGGGAAAGAGAAGATAAAAGGAAAGAAAGAAGAGGAAGAAGAAGAAAAGAGGGAAACGGGGGCAAAGGGCTTTTGCCTCGTCCCCCCGCCCCCGCCAAAAAATAAATAAGAGAGAGAGAGAGAAGGAAAGGGAAAGAGAAGAAAGAAAGAGAAAAACGTAAAGAGGGAGAATAGGAAAGAAAGGAAAAGAAAGAAAAGAAAGGAGGCAAGAGCCCTTCGCCCCTGTTTCCCTCTTTTCTTATTCTTTTTCCTCTTCTTTCTTTCCTTTTATATTTTCTTTCCCTCTCCCTTCTCTTTCCCTTTATGGCGGGAGGGGGAGGGGGAGGTAAGAGCCTTTCGCCCTTCCCCCGTTTCCCTCTTTCCGTCTTCTTCTTCTTTCTTTCCTTTTATATTTTCTTTCCCTTTCCCTTTCCCTTCTCTCTATCTCTCTCCTATTTATTTGTTGGCGCGGGAGGGGGGAGGAGGCAAGAGCCCCTCTTTTCTTCTTATTCTTCTTCCTTTCCTTTTTTATTCTCTTTCCCTTTCCCTTCTCTCTCTCTCTCTCTTATTTATTTTTTGGGCGGGGGGATGCAAGAACCCTTCGCCCCCGTTTCCCTCTTTTCTTCTTCTTCTTCCTCTTCTTTCTTTCCTTTTATCTTCTCTTTCCCTTTCCCTTTCCCTTCTCTCTCTATCTCTTATTTATTTTTTTGGCGGGGGTGGGGAGGGAGGAGGCAAGAGCCCTTCGCCCTTCCCCCGTTTCCCTCTTTCCTTCTTATTCCTCTTCTTTCTTTCCTTTTATATTTTCTTTCCCTTTCCCTTCTCTCTCTTATTTATTTTTGGCGGGGGGGGGGGAGGGGGAAGGAGGCAAGAGCCCTTCGCCCTTCCCCTGTTTCCCTCTTATTCCTCTTCTTTCTTTCCCTTTCCCTTCTCTCTCTCTCTCTCTTATTTATTTTTTTGGCGGGGGGGGGGGGAGGTAAGAGCCTTTCGCCCTTCCCCCGTTTCCCTCTTTCCTTCTTCCTCTTCTTTCTTTCCTTTTATATTTTCTTTCCCTTTCCCTTTCCCTTCTCTCTCTCCTTATTTATTTTTTTGGCGGGGGGGGGGGAGTGAGGAGGAGGCAAGAGCCCTTCGCCCCCCCCCGTTTCCCTCTTTTCTTCTTCTTATTCTTTCTTTCCTTTTATCTTCTCTTTCCCTTTCCCTTTTTTCCTTCTCTCTGTCTCCCCCAGCTAGGGCTGGTTTTGTTTACGAAGCGCCCGTCAGGAGAGTACACGATAGAGTACACGATAGAGTACACGATAAAATTGACGATATCGTGAACTTTATATCGTGAACTTTTCACGATAAAATTCACGATATCGTCAATTTCATCGTGAAAAGTTCACGATAAAGTTCACGATATCGTCAATTTCGTGAATTTCTTCGTGAAAAATATGCGATAAAATTGACGATATCGTGAATTTTATCGCATATTTTTCACGATTTAGTCTATTCGCGATGTCCCTTCAGGGCCACCATTATACTATGGAGTGAAAACGTCAAGATATGAAAATGATAAATAGACCGCATTTTTTGCCTAAATATGAGGTGACAGCTAATGGCCAGAGTTATTGCTCATTATCTAGGGGTGGGAGCCCGGTGGGAGCTAGGGTAGGGGCTGAAAATGTAAAGCTGTGTATATACGCTTATTCCATACTTTATAATTAGATAAACAACCGATGTCTTATTCTACATTTTTTTAATGTCCCATATTACCCCGAACTGTTATCATATTCCGAACTCCTTTCCTCATTTTCATGAAATTATAACGTCATTCTGACATAAACAATACGTATTGCGTAACGAGATAATTGGGAAATCTATTTCACCCCTCAAAGTCAGCTCTCATCCCTTTTGCTTTCAGATGCCAACACCAGAGGGCGCAAACTCGAAACGAAATCTGAACGACTTTCGTTGACCCCGTTCGCGAGCCAGCGCGCGCCTTTCAAGCAGACAACCGAAACGCGTCTAAGGCGCTGCGGGCGAATGTGCCGGGTAGGTTCACTTTACTAAGCCTGATAATGACTCTCGCTCCGCGCGAATCACGAAAAGAATGGTTATCAAAATAGAGGACCTCCCTTCTTCTTTTGGCCTCTGCGGTGCGATTAAAAAGGAAACACCCTTTTCACCTCCACCCGTTCAAGGATTAAAGCTCACTGCTCTGTACTATCATCTTCTTTACTTTGGTATCAATATGTTGGCGAAGAAAAGAAGTCGAGGGATGCGGAGTGGGTCCCGTTTCAGCCGATGGCGTAGCCAGCTTGGTGGAATAGGATTCAGAAATAGAGGGGCACACGGTCTATGTGGTAATCTTAATTGCGGTGCCCGGATCTTCGGGGGCGGCTGTTAGCTGTGTTCTCAGTTAATTTCTTGAGCTTTCTTAATCTCTGGGATTAGCCGCACTCATTTGAGAGACAAGAAATTGCTAGCGTGTGCTCCTTTACTTTACTTTGACAGTTCATACACGCCGGCGACGGAACTGGTATTGTGACACCAAAAAATTCGCGGAACTATGCTCCCAACTAAAAGCACAAGACAGTGTCATCGAAATTATAACCCTAATGACCAACCTCTCGCTAATTATTGATACAAGAATGAAGACGGAAAAGTGTAGCCTATAACTTTACGGAATGGTGGAAGCCAGAAGGAAGAAAATCTAAAACGAACACTTTCATTGTTCTACCAGGACCCTTTTTTACTATTAAAAAAAAAAAAAAATTAATGTACAGAGCTCTTATTTCAATCCGAGCGGCCACAACTTTGGTATGGTTTAAATGCCTAATATATAATACTAGTGTATAACATTCAGCATTCGCAACGTCGTGGCATTATTCTCTAAAGTAGAAGGGCTTTTACAATGTTTGAAATTGTGCAAAGATAACTTTGAAAAGCAAAATGACATTTGTGGGTATGGGGGGGGGGGGGGGCTAACAGTCAGAAGAAGAAGCAAAGGAGGCCCGCGTTGGGGGGGGGGGGGGGTGGGTGACACCATCTGTATTTTAAACGTTTCAGTTTCAGATTTATTTTTAATTTCCAACAGAACAATCAATATAAACAATATGAAACCCCCAAAGTAAACATCGGTGCTTATAAAGTGCTTACCACCGAAGTCTCTAAGCGCAAAAAATATACTCTCGCCCGATGAGGGACTTGAACCCGCGACCCTCTGATTAAAAGTCAGATGCTCTACCGACTGAGCTAACCGGGCTTCGTCGTAAATTGTTTTAATGCATTTCTTTTCCAATCATTAATCGAATTACATAGGAAAATGCTAGTGCTTGTCTTTAAGGGAAAAAAACTGTGGAAAAGGAGGAATTCACTGTATTATAAAATGAAATGGTAAGAGAACACGACGGGAGAGAAAACTAGATAAAAGAGAGGATTAAAGTAAAACATGAAGATTTAATTTGTTTTAGGATTGTAACAGAAACGATTCAAATTTTCTCTTAATTTTCGGCTTGCACCCGATAGATAAAGATCGCATGATCGATCTTGTAATTGAAAACAAGTCGGAAGAAAATTTGGAACGGGTGGGATTTGAACCAGCCACCAACTTCTTGCTGGGCAGCGACTACGACACAGTCATGATAAACTGGAAACAAATGCCTCAGCTCTCCTGACTTTTCGTTTTTATTTCTAGTCCTACTTAATTTTAACGAAAATGATATAGGCCTCTGAACGTCAGACAATAAAAGGTATAAAAGAGAAGAAAACAAAAAGAATATGGAAGTGGAAAGAAAAGAAATGAAGAAAAAAATGTTAAAAAATGAGGACGTCTATTCAGAATACACCAGCACCCCTCCCCCTCCCCGCTCTGCCCTTGTCATATCAATCCATGCGATGCTGATACTTCTACTCATCTAAATCAAAACCGGCTAAAATAAGCACACGCGCTCTCCATGAACTTGAACTTGAAAGCGGTCTTTCAATTTTGGCCGTCGCTGTCTTAATTGAAATTGAGGGCCCCAA